GACGCCGAGGTAGACTTGGATCTAGCGGTGGATCCAGACTTGGATCCGGCACCTGACTTCGAGGGAGAAACGGAAGTCTTGGGCGCGGGTGTAGATCCTGCCTTGGACACAGAAGTGGATCCCGCTTGCGGAACAGATTTAGAAACCGGATTCGTTTTGGGCTTGGCCTTCGGGGAAGCTCGGGCCTGCTTATGGGGACGGGAGGATCCGGTGCTAGGAGCGGGAGATGTACTACGCGGGCGTTTCGCAGTCGACGAATCCGCCCCGCTTACCGACGGAAGAGGAGCAGAAACGCTAGCAGCCTGAGAGGGCCCCGACAAGGGAGGGAGTGGATCCGAGACGGCAGCTGTCACCAGCGCCAGTCGTCGACGTGCCAAATCGCGCTCCGACAGGCCGCGATCGCGCTCCAGGATCAGCTGTTGCTGCTGAGTTTGGGCTGCGGAAAGTTGATCCTGGAGTTTTGCGGTGGTCGCGTCTGCTTTCCTTCAATTGTCACCTAGATTGACAATAACAAAGTGAATATGGAGTTACTAGCAAGGACTAAAAGAGGATCCACGTACTCATGCGGCGAAGCTTGGATTCCAGCTCCGTTAGCGCACGCTCGGCATCCGCCCACTCGGTAGTCGCCTTGTCCCGCTGGAGCTCGCTGTCTGCCAGTTTCGTTTGGATCTCATCCCGCAATCGAGTCATACGCACGAATTCTTCGAGCGCGTAATCTCGTCCGGCAGACGCCCTCTCGAGCGACTCCTTGGTGTCTTGCAACTCCTCAGAGAGTTGAGCCAGGGCCACATCCGGCGACGAGGGAGGTGGATTTGGCGCGGGGACCCTCCACGCGCCGACCCTAAGGCGGATCCGTCATGGGCGGATCCCACATAGTCGTTGGTCACCACCTCCTCCTGGGTCAAACGCAACTCGTCACGGAGGCGGTCCAAGCTCACATCCGCAGCTGCCCTAGCAGTCTGGGAATCCTCCAGATCCCGCTCGAGGTCGTGGATCCGTGATTGGAGTTGGTGGATCTCAGATCCGGCGAGTGCCATCTCCCTAAGGAGATGGTCGTTGTCATCTCGCATAACGTCTCGTTGACGGGAGGCGCGATCCAGCCGTCCGGTCAGGTCGCGGATCTCGACCGCCTGATCAGCCAACAGGAGTCGCAGGTCCTGCGACCGAGAGGCCGCACGGTGCTCCCACCCCTGGATCTCCATCGCTTGGTCATGGATTTGGGCCCGCAAGGTCTGAAGTTGGGTAGTGTGTAGAGACGCAGCTTGGTCTTGGGCATCTTGAGCCGTCTGGAGCTCCGCCGTCAGGGTTTGCACCTGATCGGAAAGAGCCTGGGCTAGAACCCGCAGATCGGTGGGCGACATGGAAGACGGACTGACCGGAGGTGTGGTGGATGGGACCTTGCCCGACGATTTGCCGGTACGCTTGGCGGGAGACATGTGTCGCGAAGGGGAGAAAGCGGTTGTGGATGCTGGTGATGCACGTCGTGGACGCTGTTGTGCAGCGCCGACCACGTACAGGAGGCGATTGTGGTGAAGTGCTTTCTCAGAAATAAGAGAATGGTCCTGACGCGGGGTCACTATCCCGAATCAGTGACAATTTCAAGTGATTATAGAGGATTTGGGTTGTTTGGCACGGGTGCAAGTTGCCTGTGGTGGATTAGCCATGGCGAGCAGCACCCCGTATGGAATGACGATGGATCTGATATGAGCGATGTACGAGAAGGCAAGATCCACCAAGACTTACCTCGGATCCACCCTTACCTGGATTCACTAAGATGGATATGGGATATACTATACAAGAGTGGATCGAGTGCGGATCCTATGAAGGAAGGATGGTCGGTGCCCTCTGACGGTGGATCTAGTAGCCACGGCTAATGAAGAGTCAAGATCCACCGCGAGGTACCCCGGATCTTATACTTCCGAGTTCGTATCCAAGGAGGGAGGATCCCGCCTGGAGGGACCTGGATCCAGGGTATAGGGATGAGGGATACAGTGGATCTCGAACTTTCGTAGGACAACGGAGATCACAGACGATTGCAAGATGATGTTGGATGATTGGAGAGCTCGGATCCACGGCGAGTGTACCATTACAGTGAGGTGGATCCAAGCGACCTGGATCCGGATGAGTGTACCCATAATAGGGTGACCATGATGATTACGTCATATATCCGGTGGATCTGAAGATAACACAGCTGGGATGATGGGTCAAGGGAAGAAGGGACATGCAGCCGAGCCTGGTAAGGGATTTAGCAGATGAAAGACATAGAAGGTAGAAACCCAGGCAGGTATAGGCTTAAATATCAATACAGTCCTCAATTTGCACAGTATCACGCAAGTGCCTTCCTGCCCTCAAGAACCGGAACTACATTGGCCGTACGAGCTCCGAGAAGGTTGGGAATTGCGAATCTAGTGTTGGTAGTGATAACTGGATAATACATTGGCCAGATCCTACAACCTAGTGAGCTTTTCCTATACACGTGCAGATCCGACAGGTTAACCGAATTTACTACTTGGTCGGTTACACCCTAGGGGCTCTCAACTCTCAAGATCCCGTCACAGGAGGCGGCAAGTACGACTTAAAGGACAACACAAAGGCAAGGGAACACACCCGCAAGGCAACCCTACGGCTAGATCCACGATCTAGGCCCCGGATCCATAAGCTCGAATATTCGCTTAGGATACGGAACCATCCACGGACGCAGAGTGAAGATTTTCCACTGCTGCTCCACCCCATCCCCACGTCTCGCCAAGACACTCAAGCTTCACCACTTGAACTCTTCGGAAGTTACCGAGAGAGCAGATCCCGCCCTACCGACGGGTACACAAGGTGAGGAAAGTTCAGCAGAACACGGATCATCGGGGGACCCCCTCCGTTAGTCGGTGCCTGGGCGCAGTTGGTATGGCAATCTCGCAGATTTTGCTGATCCCGCTACACCACACACGCTTGTATGTGGGATATTTGGTAAGCGTCGTCGCCGTTTCGTCCACCTGTGGTTTTGAAAACGTTTTGGAGCACCCTCCGTTTTTCATACACAGGTAATTTGAGTTTTGGAGGTCCCAGGGTCCCTGCAGCGTATTCGAATTTATCATATCATTACTTCTTTTAATCAGGGAGCTCCGCGAGCACCACGTCTCCCTTGGTATTGGACCTGCCTCCGGACGCAGGATAAACAGTATATAGGAGGAAGGCAACGCTTCTGGTATTCCACTACATGGATTCGGACAGCTTGAATCCCCCGGAAATCCTTTATCAAGATCCTTGTCAAGTGCTTATTTTTTTAATAACACGCGAGCCACAATGTCGATGCCTTCTCCCAAGGTCGAAAGCCCAATTTGATCTTTGGCCAGCTGGGGTTGCATGCCATCGTAATGAGCAGGTTCAAGCCTTCTGTTTCACGGACGATAGGCAGGATATCTACGAAGCGCTGGCACATGTAGCGAGGACTACTAGTAAACTTCGAAATTATGCCGACTTTGCGCTCAAGCTCACCCGCAGCCCTCCCGCTTCATGATATTTCCACCCTAATTCTACGTACGACCGCCTCGTCGTCTGCAGCCATTCTGTGGAGTTCTACAGACTCGCCACGCAGCGCGTCCGTGAGTCCCGGGTGGGCTTCAATCGATTTTGAAGTTGGCTCTTCCTGACGTAGCGCAGGCGCTGTTGTTTGTATTTGGCCCATCGGTCAACGCAGTAATTCTGAGTCGGTCTCCTAACGCGCATAATAAGAGAAATTTTATCTGCTCGATCGTGAAGCAGGTACGTCTCATATTCTCGAAGGGACATCGTTAATGACTCACAATGGCTGATTACCAACGTACGGGGTATCATAAGTCTAGTCAAGTTCCCCGTACGGAAACAGTAGATTGGTACTGCAGCGTGTCGTAGGTAGCTCTTGTTTCGAAGATGCGCTTAAAACCTTCTTCGGTCGCGTGTAGGATAATATTCCTATAGTTAGCCGCGTTTGTGTCGATCACGATGGCTGCCATTTCTAATCAGCTGAAGTATTATGCGTACCCGGGTCTCCATGCTCAAAGCTGTGGCTGGTGCCTGTATGAAGGCACTCGAACCAGCTTTGGTCAAGCTCATTACGCATCCAGCTCTTGTATCAGCAATCCACAGCTCATCAAAAACTGCTAATCGATGTAACCACCTTAAATATGTACCATACTTCTCACGTACAATTGGATCCACTTTTCCAAAAGTCAAAAGACAGTATCCATTCTACGTCTTCCAAGTCGCTTATATCGGTATCTTGCATGTTATAATTCTCATCCATTTATACATCTGCTAGCGGTCCGTGCGTCGTATTTTGCTTCTTGCTCACATGCTACACCATAGTAATCTTCTTGACGTTGCAAGTCGCCCTTTTCGCCTGCTGAACCTAGCCTAAATCGTGGTTCTGAAAGTGGGTCCACCTTCACGAGCAGGATCCCAGTCCGCCTTCATTCACTCGCACTGGGCCATCTGATGACCTTCGCCGAAGCAGTAAAAGCACCCTTGATCTTGAACACGAGTGTTCAGCTACGGCACACGCTTCTTGGTGTCATTTTAATGAGCATGATGCCCATATCACGCGAGGAAGTTACGTCAAAACTTGCTCGCACATGTCGCTTGAATTTTAAAAAAAATAGTTTAAGATTTAAAGCTAAGACGAAGGTTCATCGTGTGTTAGTGACAATAGAGACTTTTAGACGCATTGTTTTTTATTTGTGACTCAAAAGATAGCTCATAATATTTTAACCTAAAGACATATTATGAATCTGAAACGATAAAGTTTAGGCCCTGGTCTAAGTAAACTCGTTCTAAGAAATTGGGTAGGGATTGGGTCAAATGAGAACACGTTTCTAGAACCAATACTGAAGTCATTCTGATGCAACAACCAGGTCAGAACTCGTTCTGAGTTTTGCTTCGTGTAAGAATCCGAGGAAGGTGAAATCGTTGTGCAGAACAAGAAGGTATTCACTTCCTCACTTTCCAATCACCCTTCTCCAGTGGACACAATGGACGCTCATGGGTCAGATCTACCAAGTATTCACCAGCGTCCGTACTTTGACGGCATCGTTCAGCTGCCGGTGCTGCCATCGCATCTGGCCCGGGAGTCACTAGCAGCGATGCCATCTTCTACATACTGGCCCCGGCCACCTCGGCCGTCTGCAACCCCCGATTCCGCTCCAAACTCTACTGAATGGGATCAAACAATTCCAGTATCTACAGCTACAACTAACCCGTCGACTCCGGTATCTACTACCGTGAACGAAAAACGCAAAGCAGGCGCCAAATCCAGCGCTGAGCAACAAGGAAAAAAGAAGAAATCCTCCAAAAAGGGAACAACGCCATCCAAGCGCTTCGTCGGGACAAATAAGATGATCGAAGCGCTCCTCGACATGCACTTCAAAGACGATGACGTTAGGCTTCGTGTCAAAAATGCCGATACTAACCGAAAGAAAGCTCTCGCATGGCAATTTTTTGCCAATCGATTATCGGAGAAACTGGAGGTGGTGCTCTCAAGTGATCAGGTACTTAAAAAATTATCTTTTTTTTCTTCTCCAGTTCTTAACATTTTTTGCAATTGTAGGTTGCGAACAGGTACAAAAAACTCAAGGGCGAGTATAGACAAGGAAGGGAGGCTAGAACAGACAGTGGCAACGATGGAAATGAAGATGAGAGTGAGCTCTGGGGTATTCTGAAAGCGCTTTCGCTGGTCGTACTGGAATTGGTGGAGCAACTCTGGCGGATGCAGATAACGATGCGGATTGTGTTGAAGAAGAGAAGTCTTTCTCATCCTCGGACAGCCGCCAAAAAGCGGCTACACCCCCTGCAAGTCTGGCTGCCGCCATGAAAGACGGCATAACAGCTATCGCCGCATCGATGGGGCTGACGATAAGCTCGTTGAAGTGCTCCGTGATGTCCGGGCCACTCAAGAAGCCTCCCGCGATTTACAGGCGCGCCAGCTGACACTGCTTGAGCATCTTGTCTCCAAGATGTCCCCACCAAATCAAATTGTAGTCGAGGAATGGCTTTATCTTCAGCATAGCGTTCTACATTGCATTAAATGATAGTAGGTCCTTATGGATACACATTGGAAATGTAACTGTAAATTGCATACTTCCTAAAAAGTACCAAGATACTCCATAATATTTTTCTGTTTCGCTAGACCCTGCTCATGGCTCAATTCATCTTCTCCAGAAAGAGAGGACAACAAACTTGGTGGAGCTCGATCGGAATCATCTCCTACCACCGTGTAGCTGTCTGTAAGACCAATCATTAAATCATGTAAAACTAAGCAGCTTACAATAACATTCGTGACACGAGCTGGGTATTTTTGGGATATCTTGCCCAGAAGTATGCGGTAGCGATTCTTGAGGATGCCAAACGCTCGTTCGACAGTAATTCGGGTCTGGGATAGCTTGTAGTTGTAGCGCCGCTTCTGGACACTGGACGAAGCCTCTTCTTCGTCAAAAGGAGTAAGAAGATGCCGAAATATCTTGTATCCAGCATCGCCGAGAAGATGTATTCCACTTGGCACAGAAATTTGCGCAGACCCGACTGATTCCACAAAGCTTGATCGTTAATAGACCCAGCCCGAATACAATAAGAACAAAATCGAGTCTCATGATCCACTACGGCCTGCCTATTCACCGCAGGGAGTTGTTTTTGCTACAATACCAGCCTTCGTGCTTCGCAGGTCGTCTAAATCGCATCGAGGAGCCATCCACTGCGCCAATGACGTCAGGAAAGCCTGCGATTCGCTCAAATCCATCGGTAACTTTCTTGATTTCGGTCTGTGTGCTGGGCATTGTGATTTCTTCCTTCGCCATTTTCGTCAAAACCGACAGCACTTGGCAAATGTATACAACAGCACTGGTTTTTGACATCCCCATGACAGTAGCAGCACTGTCAATCGTTCCACCGGTAGATAGATAAATGATCGTCACAGCAACACGTTTGGTGATGTCAAACTTGACATTGTGATGGATACGCTCTCTCCAGTTGAGCCTGACAAGAGCCACAACTGCAAGAAATGTTCGCTTGTCACAACGCATCTTCGAGTGAAACCATTTTGTTTTCTTAGTCTGCATTGCTCTATCAAAAGCTGTAGCTGCAAACGTATTGATACTGGAACGGGTCTCTCCACCGAGACGACGACGATCGCTACACAGAGCGGACACAGCTGCACAAACGCACTACAACATGCAGAGAACGGCGAGTTTAGCTTTGGTGCCCATTACGAAGCGACGTGACTTGACAGGGGATTAGTGCTGAGGTCTACCGGAGGCAAACAGCAAAATGAGCTCTTCCTAAAGTCGGCACGGATATACATCGGCAGAGACGCCAAACTCGTTCCCACTTCGGAATAGGTAGCGGAGGTATTCTGAGAACGCCATACAGAACGGTATAATTTGAGAACGCGTTTCGAAATCTGTTTCTATTTTCAGCCAATGACCGAGCAGAATATCTTGGAACGAGTTTCGGAGTTTCAACTTAGACCAGGGTCTGAGAGGCAGGGGCTAATGGTAACCAAATATCATATGATATTTTTGATAGTAATAGTACTATTTTCGATATTAAATATTAATAGTAACTCATTTTTGCAAAAGCTAACATAATATTTTTATATTAGCTCGGAGAACTGAAAAATATTAGATACTACATGATATTTTATGATATTTTCCCACTTAAGTACGTTTCTTGCCAGCTTACCTCTGTGAACCGAGCGGAGCCAAATAACTTTTTCGATCAGGTTCTAGAAAAGCAGTAGGCTTTAAGACTGACGAGTATTTGCTCTAGTATTTCACTGTGACACAGACAAAGGCGATCGAGATGGAAAACTGCAAACGCTTGCAGCTGTTTAACGTTGATAGAGCGAAATCAAGACATTTGTTCTTGTTCTCTTCCGATCTCCTCGTCGACATCGTGCGTCTAATAAACCTGCTGCCTGTGGCGCTAGATTAATGCGCTCAGCAGTGCCAACACACAACGCCAACCTTGCCGTCACTCACAATTGTCCCGGTACTCACGGTTGATTAGTAATACTTCAGCTAGTCGAGCGTTAACGACATCTGATTAGTTAATGTAGCCCGACTACGCAATCATTGAAAAATATAATATCGTATTAACTAATATTAAGTTGATATTTAATAATATCATATTGTCTCAAAAGAAAATATTAGGTGATATTTTTTATATTAACTGGTCTACAGGTGATATTTTCACAATATTAACTTCACCGATTTTGGAGTTACCATTAACCCCTGCTGAGAGGTCACCATTTAAGCATCTAAATCGTATCATACAGTATATCCGACGAAAAGCGGATATCAAAAACTTCAGCTGAAATTATTGTCTATGACAACACTGGGATAATTTTATCTTAATATAGAATGTTGATTGCCGACTGAAAAATTTCTTGGAGATCTGTCTTTCATAAAAAATGACACCAATGCGACAAACGGGTCGCAGGGGGAAGTTCCCATTTGCATCGAGACCGCCCGCCCCATCTGGCAATTTCATGATTTCATGCTCGTCTCTGTGTGATGCCAATCCGTTTAACGCTCTGATGAAGAATCGGTGGATGCACTGCACTGGATTCCCATGGCTGGAAGCGTAAGTGTACTTTACAGTCTGAAAAGCGGAGTGTGTATGTATTAAGCATTTGTGCGTACGTATGACAAATGTACTGTACATCTGCGAATGCTAGCTGACGTGGCTACAGTACAAAACAGTGATTCGCGCGTCTTGCATGTGCAATTGTTCCAGCGGCTGAAAGTATAATTGTGCAATTTCTTAGAGTAAATGGCTTTATTGTTACAACAGCAATTGCTGGCGCAGCTACATGTATGAAGAGCTGGCCTCGCTCAAAATTTTAGGAGATTGGTCGCTCGAATTCCTGCGCTTGCTTGGAGCTATAAGCGACGTATTGGGGTAAAAGTTTTCTCTCTCGTGCCTGTGCCTCAAGCGGAGCAGCTATCACTCTAGTATTTTGACTTGGCCCGCCAAATTAATACATGTCCGCAATTTCCGCTGGCGATGAGATCCAAATGTGGGTGGTACACAGTAATCACATCAGATGAGAGTAGCTTCCTACTCTGCATCAGCTCTTGAATGGGGTGACGACACCCCGCCCGATAAATTTTTAGCTTTGGTTGATCAGCGCATCCGATCACAAACTGATTTATCCTCCGTGGGTCCCACGCTGGACGGGGCTTTGTCGACGTTCCAGTCTTGGTGCTGTGAGGAACTCGGGTCCACTCGTTTTGCGTCAGTAAATTCTCGTCGAGTTTCTCGCATTGGTCTCCAGTCGACAAGTTGTACACATCAAAATACGAACTTTGTCCCACCACTGCAAGCCAAGACCCATCCTGCGGAGAAAAAGTAGCAGAAAACACACTGCTCGAGTGCCGTAATCTAGCGAGTGGCGTGCAATTTTCAGGGGAGATCATTCGCTTATCCCACAAGCAGACCGTGCCATCCATCGACGTGGAAGCAAGACAACTGAGCACACACAAAAACACACACACACACAGCAATACATATCAGTATGATCCCAGCACTGAAAAAAAAAATCCACAGCAACACTTACAAGTCACGGGCTGGGTGTTGATCCACCGAAGTTATTCTTCTTCGATGCAGTGCAAAACATGCACCGGAAACCCTCCGCGCCCGGCGATCTATCAGTCGCAAAGTGCCGTCCTCGCAGCTTGCATACAAGAATTGCGGGTTTCCCGACCCAACGAGTGCCGTGACTCCAGTCTCATCACTCAGATCACATATCGGCAAAGACTGAGCACTGGCCAGATCAAATGCACGTACAGTACCGTCGATACTACTCGAAAGTAAAGTCGATGGGTCGGGGAAAAGCAGCTGGCTGACAGGAAAGCCGTGGGGTCGACTTAGAGCTGCCATGGAGCTGCTGGTATCAGTAGAAGGAGACCACAGAGCGATGTGTCCCTCCTTGTCCCCAGCGGCAACTACAACGCGGTCGACTCGCGGAAGGAAAGCCATCGTGGTCGTAAGGTATGGCAAAGCTTTGGTGATGTCTTTGTCTGCCAGTGAGTACGTCGTACTGTCATCAAGATCCACAGTCGAGCTGTCCTGTACCACGTCCACCCCGCCAGCAATTTCCTGGCAGAATTTCTCGCCTTCTTCGTCGTTAGCGTCCATCACGTAGAGCTTACTACCGAGAGGTTGACGCATCTGCTTCACGGAGAGAACATCTAACGGATGACCCAGTTCCACTGACCGCGTCAAGACAGGCTTCGGTTCTTCACTCAAGCGCTGGGATTTACGCTTCGGTAGCTCCGCGTAGTGAGCAGCTCGCTGTGCGCGCATCAGTGCCAGCGCCTCTTTCTTGGCTTTAGCTTCTGCGTCGCCCCTTATCACCGCTCTGGCTGTCGACATCCCGACTTGCAAGAGGAACGTCTGATTGCGCAGAATTGTGTCTCGACGTTTACGCTCGTACTCGCTCATTGCGTTTCCGTCGAGGCCGTCGTCGTCGTGGTCATGTGACTGACTCGTCACTGTATTCTCCTCGCCAGCACTAGACTCTGTACGTTCTGGTTCCTGCTGTCGGTTAAGACTTTGCTGTTTGGTTTGCCCAGTTTCTAGTTTTCTAAATTCTAGATCGTCGACTTGATCAGTTGGATTCGGTTGCTGTTGCACCGGCAAGGATAAATTGTAGCTACAAGACAACGACTTCGCTTTTACGAATGATGGCCGTGTCGACTTGAATTCATTGCCGTGAGAAGCTTGGATCAGACTCTTTGCTCTGCGCTTGCGTTCGTCCTCCAGACTCCTCTCCTCTTTATTGTCATTGTGCTCGTGTTCACGGCTTCTATCGCGCTCTTTCCGGTTATGAATCGGGTCTTGAACGTCTTTGCTCTTCGAGTTGTAGCTACTTTGTAGAACCTCAATGTGTTCCTGTGGAGGTCTCTGCATTTCAACTCCGTCCTTTATTTTTTGATGATCAGAGACTTGGTCACCATGAGCTTGAGTTTCGTTCTTTTCATTGTCCTTGAGATCGACACTCGCATGTTTCTTCTGTCGCTGCCGCTTTTTCTTAGAAGGGCGGCATCGGCGCTTCCTACACGGCACCTGAGCTTCCATGAAATGGCTGGTAGTAAAATACCGCGAAAATAAGGCGATGACTCGTACTTAACAAGATTTTTATTTTGCTAAGCTTTGACACTTTGATTTCTTTACCAAAGTCTCAATGCTAGAAAGCTTGTCTGTAGAAAGGTTACATTTCCTTACCATCCAGACCTCGCCCCAACATTCCTCATCGACATGTGAGCAGTTAATCGCTTCAAATTGTCGAGCTCGATTTCGGGTGGCATTCACTCCTTGTATTCAGTTTGGCCAACTCTTCGAATTGCTCGGATGTTTCTAGCTCCCACCTTTTTGCATTTTTGTATCTTTGCCTACCTCATCTCTGCTTGTAGTACGATCTGCTATCTTTGCGATTGACAAACCGTCACATTCCGCCACCTTGCCTTGGATTTCCTCCGACCGCGAGTGTCCATCGTCTTCACTCTCATTTCGAGCTGTCCTGCAGCACGACAGCAAATTGCATAGCGACGTTAGTATACAAGGAAATGGAGAGAACACTTGTGCGGTACGAGCTCGATTGGAAAGTCATTTATTAGCAGCTTATCAATGTACTACCGTCGAGTACCTTTGACTATTAGCTGATGGTCAGCGAACAGATCCCAATCCATCCAGCGATAGGAGTTCGTTTAGTTGATAATCGCTATCGTCTCCATCCTCCTCGTCAAATTCTTTCTTGCTTTGGCCGTCTTAAAATCGCTATCCTGACGAATTTTCTCCTCGTTATCAACTCCATCTTCTTGCCGACAACGAAGTACTGTATTATACTACAGCTCATGTAAACGAAGTAGCAAAATCAAGTATCGAGTTTGAAAGGAGCAACAATAAGAGTGCCTTACGTCTGCCACACGAAACGTCAGCGGTGTCACCAATAACCATGCGCAAGGTGTTGACGTTGGGAAGCGGTCGAGCTCTGACCGCTGCTGGCAACCTACGAGCATTCTCTTCGCGTAGCTCTCTTCCTGATGGATTCCGCAGTCCACAGGCCGTTGCTGACGCTGTTGCAAAGGCTTTAGCGGCTGAGAACGATTCTAAGAGCGCCGACAGTCGGAGCAAAAGTCAAGTGCCAGCGGATCCCAACCAACCTGTAAAACTAGAGCGCCGTCACTTGGAAGGAGATGTTATCGCCAATCAGAACATCACAATAGAGCAGTTGATGTACCCGAAGAATACCGCGGATTGGCAGCTGATCAAGCCGGAGCACTTCGAGAAGGTCCCGACCCCGAAAGACTGGAAGGCCGGGCTCGAGAAGCTGCAAGAGCGGATTGGGGTCAAATTCCAAGACGTGACGCTACTGCAGAGTGCACTGACGCACCACGGGTGTTTGCCTACCAATCCAGTGCCGGAAGACGTGCCGGTGGTGCGGTTATCAAACCGCAGTCTGGAGTTTCTAGGAGACTCGTTATTGGGTGCCGCAGCAGCAGGATATGTGTATCAGATGCTGCCAAGACACCAGGAGGGACAGCTTTCGCGTGCCAAGTCAGCGCTGGTGAATAACGATACGCTATCGAAGATTAGTGCGGATCTGGGCATCACAGATCTGCTACTTTGGCCGCCTGGTTTCAATGAGGCTAGAGGTGCACCGCTTGTTGCCAAAGGAAGAGTTACAATTGCTGCAGGCTCCGTGGAATCACTCATTGCGGCCATCTATCTGGACCAGGTATAAGGTGGACTGACGGGTTGTGGATTGGTGATTTAACTGACACCTTAGCTGTTGCTTTGCTTGTGTAGGGAATGGAGACCGCGATGAAGTTTGTGACTACACAGATCCTTCCTCGCTCGGTTGAGTATGCCACTCGTGACGTCATCTGGGAACCTATTGTCGAGCTGCAGAACTTGCTGCAAGGTCACTACTATGGCCAACCTGTCTATAAGTACGAGGAGTGAAAGGAGTATGCTGTAAATGATGATGCTAAGCTCCTGTGTCAATGTCTAGATATCTCCCGGCACCAGTGAACGCATCCGAGTACACCGTCGAGCTATACGTGAAAGGAAGGGTACGCAATGACTCCTAAGATATACATGAGGTGGCTCTTGAACGCGTTTATCTCATTGCAATTCTTGTTCTTTTTTGTAGCCGATTTTGAAGGCAAGCGCGGCATCGTACAAGTTGGCACGAGGCCGTGCAGCTGAGGCTGCCTACTGGCATTTCGAGAAGCTCCTGGGCCCTGCTCCGTAAGCACAAACGGGACTTTATAGACAGGATTGGGCACAAGTAACCGGGTAGGTAGCGAAAGAGTCACTCCAATAGATAGATAAGAGCAATGCTTGAAAAGGGTATATCTCAAATGTGAAGCAGCATCCGTTGCCTCCACTTAGAATTCGGCCTCGTCGCTAGACTCGCCGTCATCATCATCGTCCCCGTTCGCTGCAGCAGCAGCAGGTGCGACGCCCTTAGCAGCAGCGATCTCCTCCGAGGCCAAAACCATGGCAGCCGCCGCAGCACGACGTCGTGAGCGTGGGATGATGTTGGACGTGTCGACACCAATCAGATCGTCTTCAGTCATCTTGAGATCAGGCTCCGACTCGTCGCCACTGTCGTCGCTGTCACTGGCGCGCGTCCGCCGCTTCTTCTTCTTGGGCGCCATGTCCTCTTCGTCGCTATCGACCTCCTCATCGTCGTCGTCTCCTTCCTCCTCAGCGTCCTCATCGTCTTCGTCATCGTCATCGTCCTTGAATTCCTTCTCCGTCTCCTTCTTAGCCTCCGTCTTGCCCTTGGGGGTCTCCTCTTCCTTGTCCCCAGGCTTGAAGAACGACGTGATCTTCGCGCCTTCCGGAGCCTTACGCTTCTGGCCGGCAGTTTCCTTCTCCGCACTGCAAATTAACATACAAAACACGGCAATTGCAGCGTCAGAGACTGCGAAACGAACGAGTGCATCCTTGGAAGGGTAGTTGTCTGGATAATGTGTGCTTACGTCTTGGCTACGGCTTTCTCGTCGCTCCCCATGTTGCAGCAGGTAATCAAGACGCGGACGAAGCTGTAAACGTGTTCAGTCGGCTGCTGAACGGCGCAGGAGACGCAGAAATGAGCGCTGGAGAGGCAGGTAGCCTGATGGGGAGTTGTGCTGAGCTGTTGGCTCGGACTGACCAAAAGTGCGCCACACTAAAAATAGCCAAGGTTAACCGGTTTCAGTTTGGTACAGTGTACCTTCGACTTCAACTTGCCTTTTACGACTACCGATAGATACATGTATTCGGCGCTGCTAAACTGAGTCCTTACAGCAGTTGTACATGTATAGAATTATGATTCCTGGACGTTGGAAAGATGGTTGTCAACTTGGAGAGACGCAGGCGATCCTGAACCGTTTTTAGTGTGCCTGGTGGAGCAGCATTGCGAGCTTTTACTTTGTATCATGGAGCCTAACGCGCCAACTCTGACAGAAGAGCAAGTTCCGGACGACGAAGAGATCAGGCCAGAGACCACAGTACCGACGGCAGCACCTGCTCCTGCTGAGCAAGCCTATCGTGCGAGGTATAATGAAACGATCGCTCCTCCAAGTGGCCCGTCGTCTCGAGTGGTAACGCGAAGCAGACTGTCGCTGTTAAAGCAACTGAGTTTGTTCATGAAAAACTGTGCTAGATTCGACCGCCGAACGATTTCCCTCCCGAGTCCAAGCGAGCTGATCAGATTGAAGATGCCGAAGAAGACCTCGAGGTCGACATGGAGGAGCTCAAAGCTGCCGTACACGCCTACAACGTCGACTTCCAGCAGCGTATCGTACGACAAACTACTTGCCTGACTTTCGCACTGCAAAGATATCAAACTAACGTCATCAAATGCCTGCTGCAGGGTGCAGTAAAGCAGCGAGGTCGCGACCTTGAGGCGAAGTTAGGGACGGAGCATGACGCTATGATGAGCTCCATCGAGCAGTTGAGGGTGGACTTCAAAAAGCAATTCCAAGCAGCCTTTCTCACGCTCGAGCAGAAGACGCTCTCACATTTTGCTCGTCTCGAGGCGCAGGAGATCACGACTCAAGAGAAAAAGTGCGTAGATTCACTATCATAGCGTCTACTGTACATCATTAACTAACTGAGAATTGTACCTGGCTGCAGACTGCACGAGAGCGCGTCCGAGTTTCGCACATTCGCGTACACGACAGTGCCCGATATCATGGAAAAGTTGCAGGGCACAATCACTCGGAAATTAGAGAAGAACCACGAGACGTTCGATATCGAGAACGCCAAGATCCAGAAGCGCGAAAAAAAGACTCTACACGCGCTGGAGAGCAATGAGCGCAAGACAGACGCCAGTTTCCGCACTGAGAATGTCCGACGTGTAGCCAAGTTCCAGGAACGCGAAGAAGAGTTCCACCATGTCATGCGTGTGGACAATCGCAGTGCGGAGCGCGAGCAGTCCAACCAGATGCGAGGGCTCGTGGCTCTGCGCGCCCAACTCCGAGCCGAAAGCGCACAGCGGGAGAAGGAAGATCTCCACATCCTAGACAACCTGTCGTCGTCTTTCGGAAGACTGCAAGCCAGCATCCTCGAGAACCTAGGAGAAGACACCACAGCCGCGTAAATTAGCGGTACAGTACATCTAGAATCGACCCATAAGCACGACAGTAAAAGGACGGAAAACTCGAGTGGAGGAACGGCTAAAGGATGTGAATATTGGATTGGAAGGTCGAAGGCGGCTCATGTTGCCCCCAACAAGCGGTCGGGACGATCGTCTCTGCACGCTTTCGCCTGTTTTGTCGGTTGTCACTTGCACTTAAAAGAGCTTCAAATTCCACTTTCGCTCTCGTCTCCAACGTCTTCCACGCTCCTGCTCGCCGTCTCCCTGTCGCTTCGCTAGCTAGTGTGTTGTCTTTTTACCCCAAGCTGCCTGTTTTCCCCTGTTCCAATCGAGCGGATTCCTCTCGAGTGTACTTAGTTGGTGGCGGCCTTCTTCGACACAGCGGAAGAACCCTCACGGAAGCCGTTCTTGAAACGACGCTGAACGTTCTTCAGGTGGCGCATGCGGCCAGTGCCCGTCGTGCGGCGACGCAGGGCCTTCTGGCTCCAGTTGACTGTAGCAACACCAACAGCAATGCGTCATGAGTATCACTGTCAGGAAATAATAAAGATATTCGAAGAGCTACGATTGCAACTTACACTTGCGCATCTTAGCAGCGGGGTAGCCACACGAAGAGCAGGTGCTCTTCTGGATGTGGTAAGAGCTGCGCCCACACCGTCTACAGATGGTGTGGGTCTTGTTGTGGCGCATACCGAAACTCTGCGTACCTTTCGTCTACATTTGACACAAAACACACTTGTCAGTCTTCTCCGTGTCACCGAGTGCTTTTCCGGCTGTCTATTCGCTGTATCTCCATCTCCTGCTGCGTCTCAATTGCACTTCAAAGCGCTTATTTTAAGCAGGCCTGTTCTGATTAATTCGCTGTCTGTACGGCGCTGAAGTTGCTGTATCACTGCGAGCCCAGAGACGTTGATAGCGCCATGAGACACAGGAGACGGAGAGGAGAGCGATCGGCGCCCAGCGCCATTGTGCGCCGGGATCCACACCCTGCTACGCTGACATAAAGCGGGCCGTACCATCTTGGATGCGGGCTTGGGACTTAAACGCGGAGCGGAAGGAAGGGTAAAATAAGTCTAGCGCGAGGTGGGGAAGCTGAGGCACGACGCTGGCCATACAAAGCCGCCTTCAAAACAAGCGACATACAAACACTAAGTCATCGCTGGCTTCGCTTCACTCGAACCAACCAAATGCAGGCGGGTTAGGGACGTCAAAAGTAAAGGGTTTTGACGAATCGTAGGAGCGTATTCATATCAAACGTCTATTATTGGACAATTATTCCCACTGCTCACAATTCAGAGGTGAATCGTGACAAATAAAGTTGCTTCTGGAATGTGGCGCAACCTAGCGAGGCGATGTTGAAGCTCTTTGGAGTGATTGTCATTTGAAGAACGCTGGTATTAGCTGCACCACTGCGGCGCCAACATAAACCCATACCAAGTGTATTGCATCTTGTTTTTCCGACGGCGCCAGAGTTTGCGTTCTTGAAATAAAAATATTGTAAGTTTTTAAATTAAAAAAAAACAAAATAACGCTTAGCCGTACTTCAGCTCATTTGTTCGAAATAGCCTCGTAGAAATCCACCACTCTAGAATCCGCCAGTAAGCGTCCTCCATTTCTATCTCGTATGCGGGCTCGCAGGCGCAGTCCTTCCAGTGACCGAACGCGAGACAACGCAACATAAGCTTGGCCGAATTCGAAAACTCGTGACAGATCCAGAACCGCAGTGTCGAACGACAGTCCCTGACTCTTGTGGATGCTGATAGCCCAAGCTAGCGCCAACGGTAGCTGCCGTCGAGATGCCAGTACCGTGTCAGCGACGCTCACGGAGAATTCCTCCTGGCCGATGGTCTCAGTCACGCCGTTAGAGAAACGAACAATCGGCAGGTTTGACTGCGGCGTGAACCCCTCGACAATCCCACGCGAGCCATTCACCAGACCACGCGCGGCATTCAGCGTCTTAATCAACAGAACCCGTGCATTTTCTACAAAAGAATACGAGGAAAACACAAAGTAATAAGTTGGCAGACCTCCAACCCAATTGATGGAGGAAACGTACTCTTAAGTGAAAGTTTTGCTGGGGCTGGGCATGTGGTAAGGAACTCAGTTTTGCCGCTATCGCAACCAAAAGATTTGTTAGCTACGGAGCGTGACAGAGTGCGCTAGAACATTACACGTACCGGTCAGCAGACAGATAGTTAAACTTCTTGCCCCCCAACTCATCAAGAGCCCTTGCGTTAGTCTGTTGAGATGAGTGAGTACCACGCATACCAGTAGTTAAATAATAGAGAAACGTACCCGAAGTACATCATCGTTATGTGAGAGGATGTGGATGGCATCGTCACTGTCGCTTTCAGTAGAAGAAGTGCCATCGTAGCGCTCATTCAGCTTCTCGATCATTGCAGTCGTAGGCCGTCCGACACGGAAGGCATTCAGGATTCGCACGAACTCGTCGTCCCGCTGGCGGAAAATCTCCTTCAGGACAACTGTTTCGGTTATCCCTCTGGCCCAGGCGCTACTCTCGAAGCAAAGCAGTGGTGGCGCTAGTCTCGCGCCTTGGTCACGCACTCGTCTACCTACTGGTGGTAGCTGGAAGAAATCTCCTGAAAGGATGAGCTGGATGCCACCGAAGAACGCTGAATTGCGACGTATCTGCCTTGCAACAGCTTCTAGGTCGTCAAATAACCGTCCATCCAGCATCGAAACCTCATCAATAACAAGAATTCGAGCGGATTTCCAGCGAGCGATCGCGTCTTTCTTGCGACTAATCTGCTGCAACAATTCTTGCCGCGACATGTGGGCGCGTGGATCAATTCCTGCGAAGTGATGGAGCGTCATTCCACCGATATTATACGCAGCGATACCTGTCGTAGCAGTTGCAAACACTCGGCCCATTGCGTGGCCACAGCCGTGCTTGAGTAGATGTTGCAACAAAAAGGACTTGCCTGTACCAGCACAGCCTGTGAAGAAGACGTTTTTGCCTTGCTTGATGAGCTCCAACACGCGCTTCTGCTCCTTTGTCAAGTTTGCGTGTCTGTGCACTGGCTGCAATGGAGTGGAGGCATGAGGTGAGGTCTTGCGTCGTTGAGAGTCTCGTCCTGGAGACTGCGAGCTGTTGGTCAAGTCGGTAAACGCACTTCGAGGGCGTTTGATACCTGCTCGGCGGTCGGTAACAGGAGTCGAAGGCAACGATCTTCTTGCCACTGGTGCTGCAACGACAATCTTTGATTTGGAAATGCCACCTGTCCGAATGCAAAAGTCCCGAAGCGCCACCATATCCTCCGGATCGCCTTCCCGAAAGTTGTACTGCGTTATCCGAGATCGCTCGCGTCTACGGAATAGCACAGCAATTATTATCACAATGCAGCCGCACTATATTACGATCGTCTCAGCACATACCGGATGAGTGCCATCTTGCCCATGGCTGCGTAGCTTGAGTAGACCTCGTACTTGTGTGCTTCAATCTTGATGGCTTTGTGCAGCGGTGGATCGTCACTCATAACCTCAAGTCCGCCGCGTCGTCGAATAAGCTAACGGGAATAGGCAGTGAATAGTGCCGTGAGTGTGCGTTGTCGACGGTCAAATTCCACTTGCAGCAAACACGCACCATGGCTCTTGGGTACATCATTGAGGAGATATTGCGCCCAGTGTATCCGTCCGCCAATTGTAGCTCCACCGCGCAGCGCACTGCCATTTTCGGCACAAACGCGATGCAGTGGTGGTGCTTGGCAACCCTTGCCGTTTCAAACTTTTGAATTTCAAACCAAATATTTAATGTAGAAAATGTAGCTATTAATTAATGGAGGTAAATGTCGTTATAAATCCTGACAGGTTTTAAATTTACTCGGATCGAGTGTGCCTGAAGCAGCAACGTTGATTATCAGTAGTACTCAGTTGGAAGTGTACTGGGTCAGAACATGTACACTCCGCTGTCAACGCGCTTCTCCTATACTGTCATAATGCTCACTTTACAATTAGTTTATAATTTCTTATAGAAATCTTGCAGACAGGATCATCGTGATACGACAAAATTTCGGATTTTCATTTTTCGTTCTGAAGCTCATCGAACGATGACAAAGGCGTCATTCACCGTATGTAGGGCTACGTGCGAGGTTCCATGTCGCCGCAACATCTCCAGAAGAGACTGAGTGGCTGGACAAATATGCGCGGTGAGAATGTAGTATGCTAGAAGATCGAGCTCTTCAAACCACAACGAGCAAACCTTATTGGGTCTAATCTCATCACGACCTAAATCTTACCATGTAGCCCCTCGAAAATACCTGAAATGCTATTTAACATGTAAATTCATACCTTATCGGTAACTTATGGTATTTCCTTAGTGCCCATCGCAAGCTGCGCCATCCGCCGAAATGACGTGAGTAGACCTGCCTGACGATCGCCATCACATCACGTGTACCGCCAAAAACGAGCGACGACAATCGATCAAGACAGCAATCACCAGCGGCCCATGGCGCCGTTCACATAGACTCACAACAGGCGATGTTGAAGTTGTCGTCACTCTCTCGAGGTTACATCCCTACTCACAGAAACCTTTGTGCAGTATGGCACCTCATTACTCAAGTTGCACCGTCGTGTCGAATCCATCAATGCCCCGCGCTTCCAGCACTCGCACGACGCCCCGCAAGGATGTCGACCAGCGGTTCGTCTTCCTCGATCTCGACTCGCTCCTCTGCGCCGTACGCAGCCACGTTCTAACCCACGAGAATCAGTTCCACAAGGAGCTCGCCAGCTTCTCCAGTGACGTTGCACTATGCCCCAACAACCTCACCGTCCTATTAAACGACCAGCACCCGAGTCGTATCCAATGCTGGAGAGGAACCTACTGCAATCCCAACGCAGCCGAGGCCAAAGCCCTCGAGGGTGTGCGCAGTGACGGCGGCACGAAGATCAGCTGGAAGCTCACACAGAAAGGGACGTCGCAGCATCCGACACTCGAAAAGATGCTCAAACGCCACTTGACCCCCACGAACGGCGCTAAAAAGACGCTAGTTCTAGCCACAGGAGCCCTCACCAAAGGTCTAAAGAGCTGTGTCGACGCCTACTTAAAAGCGCACTGGCACGTGCAGCTCGTGACTCTCGACTCGTGTTACACGAAAAGCGACTGTAAAGTTACAGAAGTCGACGGGTTTGACGTCAAAATAGTGGACAAATACCTCCAAAAGCTGCTAACAGCGAGCCATTGCGGAGCCCCGAGCTTTGAGCGCAAAGTGAGTTCCCCCACACTGCGCAGTTGTACCAGTCCAGTTAAGCCCCCCACACCTTCGTTGCCCGTAAATTATCAAGCTGTTCACGAGCATAGAAGAGCAGCGATGCTTGGACAGGAATTGAGCGATATCGAACGTCGTAAAGCGAGGTTAGCAAACCTCCCGACCGGAAAATACGCAATGGGCAATCGCCAACGTCACGTTTTCATGAATCTTGACAATATCGCAGGTGCTGTGTGTAATAGTCAATGGCTGTATCAACGGATTGCCGGCGCTAGCAGCGGCTACGACGTGCGGCTGAATTTTCGGGCTTTGACAGAACGTGTATGTGGATCGAAAGAAAGTCAGGTGGTGCGCCGACTGGCGTCGTATCGGAAAATGCCTCGAGAATTGGCATTGCCTCTGCAAGAGTTTGACTGGGAGATACACGCTTTGAGTCAAAGCTGCAGCGGGAACAAAGGACTGTACTATGTGTTGTTGGACTTGCTGGAGACTGCGGGCTCGAGCAAACGCAAGAATACACTTGTGTTGGTTATGGGCGATGGAGCACTTGGAGGCAGCGGAATGGAGCAGAAAGAAGCGACCAAAGAGTTGTTAAAGAAGTTCCTGGAGAAGAACTGGTCTGTGGAGATCCACTCATGGCTACACGCTCTGAACGACTGGTTTATGGACATTCAAGAGCAGTATCCGTACCGTGTAGCCGTGAAACCTTTGGACGACGCTATACACGACTTAATTTACCTGAAACAAGACGAGGAAGACGTGTGGGTGGAGCCAGTGTGGCCTGGTAGTCATCGAGAAGTTGAGGCAACTCTAACGAGCTCTCCAGTACCGCCATCGCCACCTCAGTCAGCGTGGGGAACGACTGCGATCCCAACGTTGTCGTTATTTCCTAGCACACCCTTTCTGACAATGGAGCAGAAATTGGAGCAGCAAATGAGGCTGGAAGATGAGCGGAAAGATCTACGCGAACGTCTGCGTAAGAACCAGGAGGCACTGGATGCTCTCGAGTTGGAATCGTGGTCGATGCAGATTCTGCAACAGCAAGAACTGGCGCGAGTGGCGCAGCAGGCGAGTGACAAGCAACTGGCGATTCACATGGCTGAAGAAGAAGAACTGCAACTTAAGTTGCTGCAAGAGTACGAAACAGCGCAAGAAGAAGAACCCTGGAGCTGGACTTAATGCCTGGTACTTATTTTTCTTATTTTTCTTAGTTTTTTTTATATTTGTTGGAGGTATCGCTTGTGCACGTTGAGTTAAGTGCACGTCACCTTTTTCTTGATTTATCGACCTACGTTTTGGGTCAACGTGCGTCAATTTCCTCTTCATCAAATGCAAGTCACTTTTCTTAAAGTATAATAACCCTCTTAACTTTTAACGCTATCCATGAAGATCAACGGGTTGTTGGCGCGGGCTCGTAGCTGTGAGGAAGAGCGCAGAGTGATCGACCAGCTTCGTGATGTTGGGCTGGATCAGTACATCGAGTTGCCTCAGATTGCAGTTATGGGAGACACGTCCAGTGGCAAGTCGTCCCTACTTTCCGCACTCTCGGGTGTATCCTTCCCGTCGAACGACCAACTCACGACGAGATGCCCCACCCAACTCATTCTGACCCGCGCCGACACTTTCCGTGGCACCGTCAGACTCGTCCGTTATCAATCGGGTAGTGAGAACGGCGAAGGCGAAGAGAAACAAGACCTTAACCGACTAAAAGACGTCCCCGACTCTATCACGAAACTCACGCAGAAACTCGTCGATGAAGGCCAGTACATCAGCGACGACCAGATCGTGATCGAGATGTGTGGCCCTGAGCTGCCCAACCTCACACTCACCGACCTACCGGGTCTAGTGCGCACGGTGGGTGACCATGAAGACCAGAGTCTCATTCCGAGAGTTCGGCAGATGGTTGACCGATACATGAAACAGGAGCAAACTGTGATCATCGCCGTGGTGCCAGCCAATGTGGATATGCACAACACGGAGATCCTACAAGCAGCTCAGGAAGCTGATCCGAATGGCACACGCACGATTGCAGTAGTGACGAAGGTGGACTTGGTGGATGCTGGTGCCGAGTTGGCAGTGCACGAATTGTTGCTGAACAAGAAGAAGAAAATGCGTCTGGGATACCACGCCGTCAAGTGCCGTAACCAACGTGAACTAGCCAAGGGAACGAGTATCGAGAAAGGATTGGCGAACGAGATGGCATTCTTTCGTCAGCACGAGTACTGGAGTCGTTTACCTACTCATCTGTGGGGCGTTCAGAGACTGACAGAGCGCTTGGTTTCGATCTTGGAAGATAATATTCGACGTTCATTGCCAAAGGTGATTGATGAGATCAGCGCGCGCATGAGCGAAACCCAGAAGCAGTTGCTGAAATTGGGCACGACATTGAAGTCGCCCGGTGCTCAGCGTCAGCAGTTTGGCAAGTGGGTCAACCAGTATCTACGTCTGATGGAAGCTGCCATGACGGGGCAGTATGAACTCTTGTCACCTAATGGAGCCACCTCAATGCCAGAAGCGCGGCTGAGAGCTGTGCTGCGACGGAAAGACCGCACCTTTCGGGAGGAAATCGAAGCTTCGAAGACAAGCGACGTGCTCGAATTTAACGGGTCGTGGTCGCCGAAGAAGGTGGCAGATAAAGGCAAAAGAGCTCAAAAGGATGTGGCTGTAGGAGACACGATCACCGTACTTGGACATCAAGAATCGACGAGGTGGACGGTGACGCAGACCCGAGGGACTGATGTTTTATGTGAAGAGTTGCCGCACGAATGGCTGGGTGCTACACGCTGGAAATTTGCGTCTGGGGTTATGGCGGCTAATGGCCTGAAGCAGTTTATTCAAGCGAATCGAGGCGACGAGCTTGCCATTTTCCCGTCCTACCGCGTGTTTTGCAGCTGCGTCCAGCGAAGTTTGAGAAAGTGGGAGCGCCCAGCACTTGAACTACTCGAACGCTACTACTCGCATACGAAATCCACGTCTCACCATCTCATCTCGACGGTTTTAGCTGGTAGCGAAAGCACACGAGTCGAGAGGTTCTTCAAGAGAACAACTGACCGAGTGCTTGGTAGCTTGAAGGAAGTTGCCGCTCGAGAGCTGCAGTTGTTGCTGCAGCACGAAGCTCGACCGTACACCCAAGACCAGCGTCTGTACGAGGAGCTGGACAGCCTTCGTCAACGAGCTTTACACGCCCGACTGGAAGCTGCGCTTCCACGCGGAGACAAGTACGGGATGGTATCTCTAGCCAATGTCACGGAAGCGCTTGGAGGGATCTCCATGGCTTCCGATGATCGTGAAGCTTTGGAGATGGGAGTTGCGCTACGTGCCTATCTGGAGGTGGCTTCACATCGGTTTATCGACGTGGTGCCTATGAAGTTGAATGGGTTATTACTGGATTCGTTCGTGCGTGAAATGGAGAGCGAGTTGCTGGGTGCTGCCACCGATGAGAAAGTGGCTGAGCTGCTAAGAGAGAACTCGGACAAGGCAGCTCGTCGTCAGCAACTCGTCAATGAGCTTTGTACTCTTGAGAAAGGTAAAATGATACTCGAGATGAGCGAATTCTAGTCATGCGGAAACAAGATAACAATGTTTTTGGATAGTTTTTTTTTCACCCTGGGTGATCGCTTCCATGAGTATTTTTTTCGCTCTTGGAATAGCACAAATAAATCAGCAAACTTGCTCAATCTCGTTCTTCGCGCTTGCAAGACATGCAAGCTCTTCCTTAAGCTGCTGGCGTTCGTCCCTTTTTCGCTCCGAATCTTGCACTAAGCGAGTGAGTTTGTCATCAGTGAGGCCATTAAGTGCGTTCGTCATTTCCGTGACAAACTTGCACAGAACCAGGTCGTTCAGTCGCATCGGAATTGCGTCTACAAATCGTGGCACTGGCAACATCCAAGTACGTCTGCAATGCAACTTGCACCCGATTTTCCGTCGAAAGCAAACCTGACGCTACAGCATTAAGCACATCTCCAAGTGCGACCTGACCGTTAGAGTCGGTGTGAATCGCAGCTTTGATCTGCTTCTGAACATCTCGCATGCGCCGTTGATCCAACTCGACAAACAAGCGCTCGTCTTGTGTGTATGACCGGCTTTCGGCACGCAGAAGCGTCTTCATTTCCTCCTCAGCAGATTCAATAGAGGTATCAAGCGCTTTTGTAGCGGTATCGTTGACGAATCGAACCACTCTCGCGTTCGCGTTAATCGTACCAGCCACGAAGTCAGAAACCGACTTGGTGCGGTCGTGATAAGTGCGTACGAGCTGTTTTGTTGGCGACTCCCACTTGTCCACGCACTGACGAAACAGGTTACAAAACACTTGATACGAAGGGAAAATAGCGAGCTCATCGCCGCGGTTCGCTTGAATGAACCTCCTTAACATCGCTCGCTCATCAAAACGCCACAGCTCCTTCGATATCCAAGAGCCATGGAGCTCTTCGCAGGCAATCATTGTGCCCTTAACCTTCTCGACACATCTTGAGTACCACTGAACTTTGGTGTTTACTTGAACTTCATCTCCAGCTTCCACCTCATCTTGAGATTTGTTACAGAAGAGCTCGTTTTTCGCCTTCATAATTGTCTCCCGTAGTACATCTTCTTGCAAGCGAAGCGCAGCTCGCAGGCGAGTGTTCATTCCACGAGATGAACTCGATAAAGAGCTGTTTTCCGATACACGACGGCGTTTTGAAGGTGGAGATTGAAGATCATAGTGACCTCCAATGGCTGCCTCCATTTGGCGCAAATACTGATCGGCCCACTTGCCAAACTGCTGACGCTGAGCACCGGGCGACTCCAATGGCGTGCCCAATTTCAGCAACTGCTTCTGGGTTTCGCTCATGCGCGCGCTGATCTCATCAATCACCTTTGGCAATGAACGTCGAATATTATCTTCCAAGATCGAAACCAAGCGCTCTGTCAGTCTCTGAACGCCCCACAGATGAGTAGGTAAACGACTCCAGTACTCGTGCTGACGAAAGAATGCCATCTCGTTCGCCAATCCTTTGTCGATACTCGTTCCCTTGGCTAGTTCACGTTGGTTACGGCACTTGACGGCGTGGTATCCCGGACGCATTTTCTTCTTCTTGTTCAGCAACAATTCGTGCACTGCCAACTCGGCACCAGCATCCACCAAGTCCACCTTCGTCACTACTGCAATTGTGCGTGTGCCATTCGGATCAGCTTCCTGAGCTGCTTGTAGGATCTCCGTGTTGTGCATATCCACATTGGCTGGCACCACGGCGATGATCACAGTTCGCTCCTGTTTCATGTATCGGTCAACCATCTGCCGAACTCTCGGAATGAGACTCTGGTCTTCATGGTCACCCACCGTGCGCACTAGACCCGGTAGGTCGGTGAGTGTGAGGTTGGGCAGTTCAGGGCCACACATCTCGATCACGATCTGGTCGTCGCTGATGTACTGGCCTTCATCGACGAGTTTCTGCGTGAGTTTCGTGATAGAGTCGGGGACGTCTTTTAGTCGGTTAAGGTCTTGTTTCTCTTCGCCTTCGTCATTCTCACTACCCGATTGATAACGGACGAGTCTGACGGTGCCACGGAAAGTGTCGGCGCGGGTCAGAATGAGTTGGGTGGGGCATCTCGTCGTCAATTAATTCCAAAGTTCATTCGGAAGGTCCTCCAATGACTGTACCACGCGCTAATAATGGGCTGCTGGCTCACGTTAAGGCCCAAGAAGAGCGAAAACTTGTCGACAAGCTTCGTGCCATTGGCCTTGGGGATTACATCGAGCTGCCTCAGATTGCAGTTATGGGACACACGTCCAGTGAAGTCGTCCCTACTTTCCGCACTCTCGGGTGCATCCTTCCCGTCGAACGACCAACTCGTATATATTTCTTCCAGAAATTTTCTTAGATTAAGTTAGGGTAATCAGCAGCTCAAATATTCTAATATTTTGTATTTTTAAAAACACAATATGAGAAAGACATTCTCGAAAAAATAACATTTTGTTTTTATATTTCCGTTGAATTTCCCTGTTCTACTCAAAGTGCAGTCAGAAACATGTCGACACTCTTGATGACGCCGTGTTGCTTCATCTCCATAGCAAACCAGCTCATCAGCTCTTGTTCCATGATCAGCGTCTCATTCCGAGGACAGGCACCGTCATCCGGCATTCGTTTTGGCTTCGGTGCTGTTCTTCCTCCCAGTCGAATCCGTTCTTTCACTTGAGCTACATACTCCCGAAGTCGTCGTGACAACGGGATTTCCTTCTCTCGGATATGGAAGTTGAACGTGACGAAGAGCAGAAAGCCGTAGCGACTGTCATACTCCACTTCCACTTCCACGGGGATCCCAGGCTCCAGCAGACCCACCGCCGCTCCAGCGCTCAGAGGCGACACATTGCCCGTCAACGCCGTGACATTCGCTGCTTCTCTGCTTCTGCTCTTCCAAGCTTTTAGCTTCCGCAGCCTTGTTATAAAGGCATCCGTTAGTTTGTGCTTCCACGTAAGAGAACCTTTAGCGTACGCTATCTTTCTACGTGGGTGAGCACGCTCGTCGTTGCAGGCTTGCAGCCCCAGATCTTTCCACACCACACGACGGACTTCCGATGCAAGTTGAGAGACACTCTCTTGCTTGTCTAGTACACGAGTGCCGAGGAAGATCTCGAACTTCTCAATATCGATGGCTTTGTTCACCTTGAGACGCAGCGTCCGTCTTCCGAACTCAACCTCGTGGCTCTTCCTCTTCTTGAACCTGATCAAAGCGTAGACACAACCAGCCATCCAGATAATGTTGAGCACGAAGAAGAGCAGAGGAATCTCAATGATAGTCTTCGCGAACGCCGTTTCCACCCACGCAGGCATATCCACATTCAAACTACCTCCTGGAATCCTGTCCAGGAGCGTGAAGGCAAAGCTGCCAGCCAGCAGAACTTGCACCAGCTCGAGCGAGGAGCCACACTGCTCCACTGTCAAAGACGAGTCCGCTAGAGCTTTAGTGTTGCCCTCGACAGTCTTGAAGATATCTTCGAGTTCCGACGTGTTGAGCACTTCTGCCATCTGTCGCAAGTTGACAATCTCGTACTTGGCACCGTGCACAAGTTTCTCTAAATCCCGAGCACGCAGTAAGATATCGTGGTGCTGTTTCTTCAGATCCAAGTAGCTGAAGATCGACTCTTCTTCTTCACTCGCGTTGGCCGATTTTTGGGGAATCTTGACGAATTCCAGCGACTCGAGAAGGTATCCCAATGTGTCGGTAAACTTCAAATATCACAGTAGAAATTAACAATAACACACAACATCACAAAAATAACTCGTGAAAAAAAAACTTACAAGGATAAGGTCGTTCGTAGCCTGGTTGAGTTTCCCTCGGATCGTGACAAGGTGATGCGGGTCCTCTTTAGCCCGAAAAATGAGGTCTCGGATGTGCTTGAGCAGCTCCTCAAGCACGAAAATTCGCGTGAAGAAGCTGCGCAAAAACATTTCTCGACACAAAAGCGAGAAATACGAGATGAAAACTTTCTCAAAGCGTTTGGACGCCGACCCGGCGATCAGCATGCCGTCCCTCCCGACAATCAGCACACTGTCCTCTCCAATGTCATAAGCACAGTGGATGTCTCCTAGCACCTGCTTGAGTTCATTCTCAAAGTCTCCTCGGTCCATGTACTCCAATCCAGGCATAAACGGGTCGATCTGGTCCGCCATAATCATGTTAAACTTGCCTCGATTGGCGATGTCCCCAAGGAAAACCATGTCCAACAAGCTCGTTTGGTACGAGGACAGAAGGTCGTCCATGATCTCGGACGAGTCCTGGTGGATATCCACCAATAGTCGAGACAGTAAATCCACGGAAATACGGTCCGCTCTTTTATCCAGGATGGCGTCCACTTTGATCCCGTAGAAAATCGTGCCGTCCACATTGAGATGAATTCCGAAATTCTCGACTTGAACGATCCCGTCGTCTTCTGGGAAGTTAATTTCGGCTTCAAAGTTGATGTAGCGCACTGGATCGTAGTCGAGGATACGAACCTCTGTGAGACCCGGAGGGACTTCAAACTGCGTATCCGTGGGGCGATCGTCAATGAGTGACGTGAATAGGCCGCCCTGACATCGGTCCATGGACCCGAGTCGTTCGTTCAGAGCGACGATTTGGTTTGATCCGAAGGGGATCCACTCCCCCACTAGACACACGGGGTTTGCCAGTACTATGGCTTCGGAAAGAGTATCGCGGATATTGGATTGTCCACTTGCAGCTTCCAGTGCCCGGTGAGCGTTCGAAGACAATTGTTGATACGCTTCCAGACTACGTACACACTGAGGAACGAAAGGACTGGAGACGTACGACACGTCCTCAGTCTCCGTCACTCCCGAGTATCGGAAGTACCCGATGGATTCCAGAATGAATCGACCTTCTTCGTTAAACTCGGGATCTTCTTCAGGGACCTGGATCTCCCCACTGAAACCTGCTGTGAGGTGTTTATCACTCCCCCGAGTAAACGTCCAGGCAGGAGCATTTGCCTCGGAGACAGTGTTCGCGTCTGGGGGGTCTCGGATCGGGATGTATCGAATTTTTAAGAGTTCTCGACGATACGGTTTCGGAGCGAAGATAAAGGCGTCGACATTGGCTTTGAGTTCCTTACTAACCTGAGACAAGAGCTGAAGACCCCGTAGAGAGACCTGGAACGCGGTGACGGAGTGATAATCCTTGGTCGAGAGCTTCAGCCCGTTGATGAGGTTAGCTTCACGCAGATCGTCAATAGCGGATTTCCCGTCTTGTGTTGTGTTCATCCAGATACGTTTCGGTCTTCCTTCCTGTGCGATGACCATAGCTGCCGGTGCGTAGTCGAAGTTTAAGGCCCCTGCAGCGATCCCTTCGTACATTAACACGAGCAGTGGGATCTGGCGAATCCACGACTCCTTATCTTCCTTCGTTCGGGCACAGACAGCGTATCTGGACAGCACGTAGAGCACCATAACGTGGTCGGTGGGCCACGTCTCCCGTACTGTCCGCCCGGTGTCGTCGCCTTCTTTCGACAACTCTGGAAGTGTGAAGGTCAACTCGTCCGTCTCTCCGAATTCTTCCTCACCACCGGTCGTTCCGGACTGTGGATTTGTATCTCCTTCCTGAAGCCGCGAGGTGGACCCGGAGGCTCCCAGTTGTCTCGACATACGGTGTGCTACTCGCGGACCACTATTGTTACGTGCCATGGTTTGTCGGCGGTAAGGTTGAAGAGGAACAGACCCGTCGGTTGGTTTGAGTATCCCCGAGTTGGTTCGGGTGTTAAGTTCTGGTCTAGGAGACCTCATCCGAGTAGACGTCGTACGTGGAGACTGGATCTGACTCTGGAGTGACGGAGGATGAGGTGACGGAGAAGCGGAAGCCTCACCGAGCGTGGGTTGTGGGGTGGAGGGTGACACTTCAGCTGTAGTTTTGTTGTCGACGTCACCGCTCTGAGTCGCAGTAGTATCGTCATTTTCGGACGACCCAGGCGTCGACCCAACAGGTGCCGGCGGGCGAGAGGCCATGAGCTCCGTCCTAGGAGACACTGGAGGCTCCGGCGGTTTTGAGGGCGAAATGAGACGATAGGCGGGGCTAGTCGAGCCGCTGGCGTTGGGACTTTGTTGTCGGGGAGATTCCTCAATGATCTCGTCGAGGTGCGGGATCTGGCCTGGAAGAGGGCGATCTCTAGTTGCCATCCATCTGAGAAGATGGCAGCGGGGTACGACACGAAAAAGCCTGGTTCGGGAATGAAGTTGTAGCGCCAGGAACCGGTCGCGACCTCCCAGAACCACCGTCGTTTCATTACAAGCCACCCCTCTAGAATTTCTTTAGTGTCATCAAAGTTTTATTATTATCTGTTGTTATTGGGCGGACGACGCAAGACGAATGCAAGTGGCATTTTGAACCAGGAGAGGTGATAAACTGCCATTGCCAGCTTAGTTCTCGAGCACGACACGGTAACGCACCGAGCCGTCACGCACCATCTTGATGCCCTCGTTAGCCTTGCTCATCGGCAGTTTCTGGATCACAGCTCGCACGTTCTTCTTGGACGCCACTTCGAGCATGTCCTTGATGTCCTTGATGCTGCCAATGTTGCTTCCCCCAAAGTTCGCCCCCTTCGCAACCACACCGAAGGCGCTGAACTTGACTTCGTCGTTGGGTAGACCCACCATGATGAGCGAGCCACGAACTGGCCAAGAAAGCTCTCGAAACTGGCGTGTGACGGGATTCTTGGTCGGAGTTAGCCACAGAAAAGAAGGATAATCCAATCGAAATTACTAGCCCCCGGCAATCTTGGCTTTCTCTCCCGTGTAGTTGACGAAATCGGTCGCGCCCAAGTCGCGCACCTCCTTCTCTTTGTTCGGTGAGCGAGAGAAGGCCACGACAGCGTCAGCCTCCATGGCCTTGGCGAACTGAATCGCCAAGTGGCCCAGACCGCCAATCCCCACAATTCCGACACGCTTGCCGGGCTTCACGCCCGCCTCCTTGAGCGGTCGGAACACCGTCGCACCGGCACACAACAGTGGTGCCGCGACATCCGATGGGAGGTTGTCCGGGATCTTGAAGGCGTACTCATGCATGACGCGGATGTAGTCGGCATAGCCGCCATAGGTCACGGTCTTGTCGGCGTATCTGTCGCTGTACGTCCACACTCTGTGTGGACAGTATGCATCGTCCCCAGCGGAGCATAGTTTACACGGTGCCGCGGGGTCCTTGTTCAGACACGCAAAGACTTGGGCACCGACGCCCACGCGGTCACCGACCTTCATGCCCTTGACTTCGTCTCCAGCCAGTGTGATCTCGCCAATAATCTCATGACCCACGACGCACGGGTAGATCGATGGACCCCATCCGCTGTCCATGGTGTGCAGGTCGGAGCCACAAATGCCACAGTGCGAAATCTTGACCTCCACGTCTCCAGGGCCCAGAGGACGGGACTTGTACTCCCACGGCTTCACCTCTTCCTTCTCGCCGAAGCAGGCGTATGCGTGGATGGTTCGCGGTTCAGTTGACATGGTTTGTCACTTGATTTGATGGTTCGGTTGCTTGAGTTGTTTGCAGTAAATTGCAGAATGAGAGAGGTGAGGTCGTTCGAATAGCAAGCAGAGAAAAGAGTAGAGGGGATTGGGATGTCATCCTGTTCAGCCACCATCAGCTTGTAAGATGGCTGTCGTTTGGCGTTAGGGGGGGACAAAAGAACGCTTAAAGGGCGCGTTTGTCGTCCGGGCTGGGACGTCGTGTGACGCATGAGACCTTTGATTAAGACCCTTGATTCTTCATCGTCAACTTTTTCCTACATCCAGCATCTGTAGCTATCTATATCTAACCGTTCGGACATGTTGGATTAATATAAACTAAACCAAATTCAGCTATCAACCCATGTGGATTGTTTTTAAGAGCGGCTAAAAGGACAGATACGATTACATGTAATTATGTGCCACACTAAGCAATAAAGCCTTTGGATCGACGCCTTAAAACGCTTCAATTTTGCCCTTACAACCTCAGTTTATTTCCAAAATAATTGCGAAAAATTAAACGGCTCGAAACTAATAATCAAAATTTAAAATTCCAATGTATTGCTCTAATGATTTAATTTTGAGCAGTCCAACTCGGACAAGAATGTTGGGGAAAGAATCAGGCTCGCTGTTCATAAGCCACATATCCGATTGATCGAAATTGCTGCGGCCAATAGTCTGAGGACCACCCACAAGTTCATACCGGCATGCCACACGCCCTAAAAATGAAGAAAATCGCGTGGAAATGCGATTTAGTCTTAAAGCCGTTTTGGATGCCGGCCATTGACAAAAAAATAACGAAGTGTCGCTAATAGTAGACAAAATGCCATCAACGACGCTACGTTCTAAAATTCAGCCCAACGGGCGATTGCATCGAGAGCACCATTTAACGTGGTGGTGCAAAGCGAGGACACATCTTACCTCGTGATACAGTTAGATTGGCTTAGCGAAGCCAACATAATAAGGACTGTGCTGTATCCATTCTAGACAGAGTTGCGGCTTTGATATTTTGTGCAACTTCTCATTCTAAGACATTTTCGTCCTATAACAGATATAGATCCGTCACGCCACTAATTAAACAAAACTCACGGACCGTATCCTCAGAAGAATCCAATAATCTAATCAGATGATCGGATCTATAAACAAAACAAAAAATGTTGACGATAGCATATCGTAATACTGGTTAGAATAATTGTTTAAATTGCCTTTCCTTATCCTTTTTTAAAACGAAACTTAAAATAAGCTATTTAAAAAGAAGATAGCTTAAAATACATCTTTATCACACACCACAGTGTTAAAGCACTAGTAATGTGTGATAAAAGGTAGCAAATTCACTCGAGTAAATAGTGATACGTCATACCAACTACGGATAATGTTAGACCATTTTGCATTACACTACAATAGCAATAATGAAATGCAGGGTGGAGAGACTAATCGATATTAAAGTTTCATTTGTTTCATACGTCGTCGCCAATAACGACACAGTGTTGCAATTTGTGCCATGACACACTTGCACGTTAGTTCTCGAGCACGACACGGTAGCGCACCGAGCCGTCACGCACCATCTTGATGCCCTCGTTGGCCTTGCTCATCGGCAGTTTCTGGATCACAGCTCGCACGTTCTTCTTGGACGCCACTTCGAGCATGTCCTTGATGTCCTTGATGCTGCCGATGTTGCTTCCCCCAAAGTTCGCCCCCTTCGCGACCACACCGAAGGCGCTGAACTTGACTTCGTCGTTGGGTAGACCCACCATGATGAGCGAGCCACGAACCGCCAAGAAGCTCAGGAACTGCGTGTACGGCATCTTGTCGGCGTTGGCACAGAGGAGAAGGATATCGATCGAGTTTTCAGCCGCGGCAACTTGCTTCTCGTCCGTGTAGTTGACGAAATCGGTCGCGCCCAAGTCGCGCACCTATTTCTCTTTGTTCGGTGAGCGAGAGAAGGCCACGACAGCGTCAGCCTCCATGGCCTTGGCGAACTGAATCGCCAAGTGGCCCAGACCGCCAATCCCCACAATCCCGACACGCTTGCCGGGCTTCACGCCCGCCTCCTTGAGCGGTCGGAACACCGTCGCGCCGGCACACAACAGTGGTGCCGCGACATCCGATGGGAGGTTGTCCGGGATCTTGAAGGCGTACTCATGCATGACGCGGATGTAGTCGGCATAGCCGCCATAGGTCACGGTCTTGTCGGCGTATCTGTCGCTGTACGTCCACACTCTGTGTGGACAGTAGGCATCGTCCCCAGCGGAGCATAGTTTACACGGTGCCGCGGGGTCCTTGTTCAGACACGCAAAGACTTGGGCACCGACGCCCACACGGTCACCGACCTTCATGCCCTTGACTTCGTCTCCAGCCAGTGTGATCTCGCCAATAATCTCATGACCCACGACGCACGGGTAGATCGATGGACCCCATCCGCTGTCCATGGTGTGCAGGTCGGAGCCACAAATGCCACAGTGCGAAATCTTGACCTCCACGTCTCCAGGGCCCAGAGGACGGGACTTGTACTCCCACGGCTTCACCTCTTCCTTCTCGCCGAAGCAGGCGTATGCGTGGATGGTTCGCGGCTCAGTTGACATGGTTTGTCACTTGATTTAATGGTTCGGTTGCTTGAGTTGTTTGCAGTAAATTGCAGAATGAGAGAGGTGAGGTCGTTCGAATAGCAAGCAGAGAAAAGAGTAGAGGGGATTGGGATGTCATCCTGTTCAGCCACCATCAGCTTGTAAGATGGCTGTCGTTTGGCGTTAGGGGGGGACTAAAGAACGCTTAAAGGGCGCGTTTGTCGTCGGGGCTGGGACGTCGTGTGACGCATGAGACCTTTGATTAAGACCCTTGATTCTTCATCGTCAACTTTTTCCTACATCCAGCATCTGTAGCTATCTATATCTAACCGTTCGGACATGTTGGATTAATATAAACCAAACCAATAATTCAGTTATCAACCCATGTGGATTGTTTTTAAGAGCGGCTAAAAGGACAGATACGATTACATGTAATTATGTGCCACACTAAGCAATAAAGCCTTTTGATCGACGCCTTAAAACGCTTCAATTTTGCCCTTACAACCTCAGTTTATTTCCAAAATAATTGCGAAAAATTAAACGGCTCGAAACTAATAATCAAAATTTAAAATTCCAATGTATTGCTCTAATGATTTAATTTTGAGCAGTCCAACTCGGACAAGAATGTTGGGGAAAGAATTAGGCTCGCTGTTCATAAGCCACATATCCGATTGATCGAAATTGCTGCGGCCAATAGTCTGAGGACCACCCACAAGTTCATACCGGCATGCCACACGCCCTAAAAATGAAGAAAATCGCGTGGAAATGCGATTTAGTCTTAAAGCCGTTTTGGATGCCGGCCATTGACAAAAAAATAACGAAGTGTCGCTAATAGTAGACAAAATGCCATCAACGACGCTACGTTCTAAAATTCAGCCCAACGGGCGATTGCATCGAGAGCACCATTTAACGTGGTGGTGCAAAGCGAGGACACATCTTACCTCGTGATACAGTTAGATTGGCTTAGCGAAGCCAACATATTAAGGACTGTGCTGTATCCATTCTAGACAGAGTTGCGGCTTTGATATTTTGTGCAACTTCTCATTCTAAGACATTTTCGTCCTATAACAGATATAGATCCGTCACGCCACTAATTAAACAAAACTCACGGACCGTATCCTCAGAAGAATCCAATAATCTAATCAGATGATCGGATCTATAAACAAAACAAAAAATGTTGACGATAGCATATCGTAATACTGATTAGAATAATTGTTTAAATTGCCTTTCCTTATCCTTTTTTAAAACGGAACTTAAAATAAGTTATTTAAAAAGAAGATAGCTTAAAATACATCTTTATTACACACCACAGTGTTAAATCACTAGAAATGTGTGATAAAAGGTTGCAAATTCACTCGAGTAAATAGTGATACGTCATTCCGTACCAACTACGGATAATGTTAGACCATTTTGCATTACAATACAATAGCAATAATGAAATACAGGGTGGAGAGACTAATCGATATTAAAGTTTCATTTGTTTCATACGTCGTCGCCAATAACGACACAGTGTTGCAATTCGTGCCATGACACACTTGCACGTTAGTTCTCGAGCACGACACGGTAACGCACCGAGCCGTCACGCACCATCTTGATGCCCTCGTTGGCCTTGCTCATCGGCAGTTTCTGGATCACAGCTCGCACGTTCTTCTTGGACGCCACTTCGAGCATGTCCTTGATGTCCTTGATGCTGCCGATATTGCTTCCCCCAAAGTTCGCCCCCTTCGCGACCACACCGAAGGCGCTGAACTTGACTTCGTCGTTGGGTAGACCCACCATGATGAGCGAGCCACGAACCGCCAAGAAGCTCAGGAACTGCGTGTACGGCATCTTGTCGGCGTTGGCACAGAGGAGAAGGATATCGATCGAGTTTTCAGCCGCGGCAACTTGCTTCTCGTCCGTGTAGTTGACGAAATCGGTCGCGCCCAAGTCGCGCACCTCCTTCTCTTTGTTCGGTGAGCGAGAGAAGGCCACAACAGCGTCAGCCTCCATGGCCTTGGCGAACTGAATCGCCAAGTGGCCCAGACCGCCAATCCCCACAATTCCGACACGCTTGCCGGGCTTCACGCCCGCCTCCTTGAGCGGTCGGAACACCGTCGCGCCGGCACACAACAGTGGTGCCGCGACATCCGATGGGAGGTTGTCCGGGATCTTGAAGGCGTACTCATGCATGACGCGGATGTAGTCGGCATAGCCGCCATAGGTCACGGTCTTGTCGGCGTATCTGTCGCTGTACGTCCACACTCTGTGTGGACAGTAGGCATCGTCCCCAGAGGAGCATAGTTTACACGGTGCCGCGGGGTCCTTGTTCAGACACGCAAAGACTTGGGCACCGACGCCCACACGGTCACCGACCTTCATGCCCTTGACTTCGTCTCCAGCCAGTGTGATCTCGCCAATAATCTCATGACCCACGACGCACGGGTAGATCGATGGACCCCATCCGCTGTCCATGGTGTGCAGGTCGGAGCCACAGATGCCACAGTGCGAAATCTTGATCTCCACGTCCCCAGGGCCCAGAGGACGGGACTTGTACTCCCACGGCTTCACCTCTTCCTTCTCGCCGAAGCAGGCGTATGCGTGGATGGTTCGCGGCTCAGTTGACATGGTTTGTCACTTGACTTGATTAAATGGTTCGGTTGCTTGAGTTGTTTGCAGTAAATTGCAGAATGATAGAGGTGAGGTCGTTCGAATAGCAAGCAGAGAAAAGAGTAGAGGGGATCGGGATACCAAGCAGGCTGTCTAAATTTATGACTTTCAAAGTGAAAATGGTACACGTCAACGGACCTTCAGCCACTAACGACATAAATATGGCTGGTTTTCGACGTTGGAGTCCCAACAAGGTGACTCCGTGTGGGTGTCACGAATTAAATACTGAAAGTGGATTAAGGTGTATTTTGGATAAGGAATCGATACTTGTATGTAAGGTTCTGTCCAGTATTCTACACCCAGACTCTCACGGCCTGTCAGATTCCCCAAAGCGTTTTTTTTTTCAGGTGAACCAACACTGATGGCGTGAAAAATGCATCTCTTTTTCGAAGCGACATCGTTTTTTAGTTAGCATCACGCGACCGATTAGAGCAAATGGTGTGTTGTGAAGTAGCAAAAAAGTTAGATATGGGAGCTGAATGGCATGCCCAGGGAGTTTCGCAAAAGGTCACTTGCACGCAATGCAATCCTTGCAACATTGAAGGACACAAAAAGTCAGCATCGTAATTTTTTATCAATTGCGAAAACTCAAATCCTGATTAACATGTAAGTGCCTACCTTCGACTGTATATTTCCGCTAAAACGTGCTCTTCTGTAATAATTTATCAAATATCGTCGCCAACGAGATCTATATCTGTAATCACTTGAAAGGATCCTAGAAATGTCTTAGAATGAGAAGTTGCAAAAATATCGAAATCGCAGCTCTATCTAGAATGGCTACACTACAGTGATTTAAAATGTTTGCTTCGGTAAAGCAATCTCTAACTGTCACGAGTATAAAAGACTCCTCAATTCCGTCTTGCAATTGTTCATATCACCACGTTAAATGAGGCTTTCTCGATGCTATCGCCCGTTAGATTGAGTCTACTATTAGCGATACTTCGTCATGTTTTGATTAATGGCCGGCATCCGAAACGGCTTTAAGACTAAATCGCATTTCCACGCGAATTTTTTTCATCTTTAGGGCGAGGTTGGTGGGTGCCATGCCTTTTGGGTGACCCTCAAATTATCGACCGCAGCAATTTTAATCACTAACTCTCATGTCATAATGCGTCCCAAGCCGACATCAAACGCGCCCTTTAAGCGTTCTTTAGTCCCCCCCCCCAACGCCAAACGACAGCCATCTTACAAGCTGATGGTGGCTGAACAGGATGACGTCCCAATCCCCTCTACTCTTTTCTCTGCTTGCAATTCGAACGACCTCACCTCTCTCATTCTGCAATTTACTGCAAACAACTCAAGCAACCGAACCATTAAATCAAGTGACAAACCATGTCAACTGAACCGCGAACCATCCACGCATACGCCTGCTTCGGCGAGAAGGAAGAGGTGAAGCCGTGGGAGTACAAGTCCCGTCCTCTGGGCCCTGGGGACGTGGAGATCAAGATTTCGCACTGTGGCATCTGTGGCTCCGACCTGCACACCATGGACAGCGGATGGGGTCCATCGATCTACCCGTGCGTCGTGGGTCATGAGATTATTGGCGAGATCACACTGGCCTGGAGACGAAGTCAAGGGCATGAAGGTCGGTGACCGTGTGGGCGTCGGTGCCCAAGTCTTTGCGTGTCTGAACAAGGACCCCGCGGCACCGTGTAAACTATGCTCCGCTGGGGACGATGCCTACTGTCCACACAGAGTGTGGACGTACAGCGACAGATACGCCGACAAGACCGTGACCTATGGCGGCTATGCCGACTACATCCGCGTCATGCATGAGTACGCCTTCAAGATCCCGGACAACCTCCCATCGGATGTCGCGGCACCACTGTTGTGTGCCGGTGCGACGGTGTTCCGACCGCTCAAGGAGGCGGGCGTGAAGCCCGGCAAGCGTGTCGGAATTGTGGGGATTGGCGGTCTGGGCCACTTGGCGATTCAGTTCGCCAAGGCCATGGAGGCTGACGCTGTCGTGGCCTTCTCTCGCTCACCGAACAAAGAGAAGGAGGTGCGCGACTTGGGCGCGACCGATTTCGTCAACTACACGGACGAGAAGCAAGTTGCCGCGGCTGAAAACTCGATCGATATCCTTCTCCTCTGTGCCAACGCCGACAAGATGCCGTACACGCAGTTCCTGAGCTTCTTGGCGGTTCGTGGCTCGCTCATCATGGTGGGTCTACCCAACGACGAAGTCAAGTTCAGCGCCTTCGGTGTGGTCGCGAAGGGGGCGAACTTTGGGGGAAGCAACATCGGCAGCATCAAGGACATCAAGGACATGCTCGAAGTGGCGTCCAAGAAGAACGTGCGAGCTGTGATCCAGAAACTGCCGATGAGCAAGGCCAACGAGGGCATCAAGATGGTGCGTGACGGCTCGGTGCGTTACCGTGTCGTGCTCGAGAACTAACGTGCAAGTGTGTCATGGCACGAATTGCAACACTGTGTCGTTATTGGCGACGACGTATGAAACAAATGAAACTTTAATATCGATTAGTCTCTCCACCCTGCATTTCATTATTGCTATTGTAGTGTAATGCAAAATGGTCTAACATTATCCGTAGTTGGTATGACGTATCACTATTTACTCGAGTGAATTTGCTACCTTTTATCACACATTACTAGTGATTTAACACTGTGGTGTGTGTGATAAAGATGTATTTTAAGCTATCTTCTTTTTAAATAACTTATTTAAGTTTCGTTTAGAAAAAGGATAAGGAAAGGCAATAAAACAATTACTTTAACCAGTATTACAGTATGCTATCGTCAACATTTTTTTGCTTTTTTTTATAGATCCGCTCATCTTATTAACTTATTGGATTCCCCTGAAAATTCGTTGATGGCATTTTGTCTACTATTAGCGACACTTCGTTATTTTTTTGTCAATGGCCGGCATCCAAAACGGCTTTAAGACTAAATCGCATTTCCACGCGATTTTCTTCATTTTTAGGGCGTGTGGCATGCCGGTATGAACTTGTGGGTGATCCTCAGACTATTGGCCGCAGCAATTTCAATCAATCGGATATATGGGCGAGCCTGATTCTTTCCCCAACATTCTTGTCCGAGTTGGACTGCTCAAAATTAAATCATTAGAGCAATACATTGGAATTTTAAATTTTGATTATTAGTTTCGAGCCGTTTAATTTTTCGCAATAGTTTTGGAAATAGCTTGAGGTTGTAAGGGCAAAATTGAAGCGTTTTAAGGCGTCGATCCAACCACCAAAAGGTTTTATTGCTTAGTGTGGCATGTAATCGTATTTGTCCTTTTAGCCGCTCTTGGCCAATAATACTGGTTTTAATTGATTAGAATTACTGAATTATTGGTTTTGGTCGAATCTGATCTAATATTAATCCAACATGTCCGACCGGTAAGATATAGATAGCTACAGATGCTGGATGTAGGAAAAAGTTGACGATGAAGAATCAAGGGTCTTAATCAAAGGTCTCATGCGTCACACGACGTCCCAGCCCCGACATCAAACGCGCCCTTTAAGCGTTCTTTTGTCACACACACACACACACACCAACGCCAAACGACAGCCATCTTACAAGCTGATGGTGGCTGAACAGGATGACATCCCAATCCCCTCTACTTTTTTTCTCTGCTTGCAATTCGACTCTATCATTCTGCAATTTACTGCAAACAACTCAAGCAACCGAACCATCAAATCAAGTCAAGTGACAAACCATGTCAACTGAACCGCGAACCATCCACGCATACGCCTGCTTCGGCGAGAAAGAAGAGGTGAAGCCGTGGGAGTACAAGTCCCGTCCTCTGGGCCCTGGAGACGTGGAGGTCAAGATTTCGCACTGTGGCATCTGTGGCTCCGACCTGCACACCATGGACAGCGGATGGGGTCCATCGATCTACCCGTGCGTCGTGGGTCATGAGATTATTGGCGAGATCACACTGGCTGGAGACGAAGTCAAGGGCATGAAGGTCGGTGACCGTGTGGGCGTCGGTGCCCAAGTCTTTGCGTGTCTGAACAAGGACCCCGCGGCACCGTGTAAACTATGCTCCGCTGGGGACGATGCCTACTGTCCACACAGAGTGTGGACGTACAGCGACAGATACGCCGACAAGACCGTGACCTATGGCGGCTACGCCGACTACATCCGCGTCATGCATGAGTACGCCTTCAAGATCCCGGACAACCTCCCATCGGATGTCGCGGCACCGTTGTTGTGTGCCGGCGCGACGGTGTTTCGACCGCTCAAGGAGGCGGGCGTGAAGCCCGGCAAGCGTGTCGGAATTGTGGGGATTGGCGGTCTGGGCCACTTGGCGATTCAGTTCGCCAAGGCCATGGAGGCTGACGCTGTCGTGGCCTTCTCTCGCTCGCCGAACAAAGAGAAGGAGGTGCGCGACTTGGGCGCGACCGATTTCGTCAACTACACGGACGAGAAGCAAGTTGCCGCGGCTGAAAACTCGATCGATATCCTTCTCCTCTGTGCCAACGCCGACAAGATGCCGTACACGCAGTTCCTGAGCTTCTTGGCGGTTCGTGGCTCGCTCATCATGGTGGGTCTACCCAACGACGAAGTCAAGTTCAGCGCCTTCGGTGTGGTCGCGAAGGGGGCGAACTTTGGGGGAAGCAATATCGGCAGCATCAAGGACATCAAGGACATGCTCGAAGTGGCGTCCAAGAAGAACGTGCGAGCTGTGATCCAGAAACTGCCGATGAGCAAGGCCAACGAGGGCATCAAGATGGTGCGTGACGGCTCGGTGCGTTACCGTGTCGTGCTCGAGAACTAACGTGCAAGTGTGTCATGGCACTAATTGCCAGTCCCAGTCAACACTGTGTCGTTATTGGCGACGACGTATGAAACAAATGAAACTTTAATATCGATTAGTCTCTCCACCCTGCATTTCATTATTGCTATTGTAGTGTAATGCAAAATGGTCTAACATTATCCGTAGTTAGTATGGTATGACGTGTTCAATGCATCCACACCTAGTTTTCGAGCACGACACGGTAGCGCACCGAGCCGTCACGCACCATCTTAACGCCCTCGTTCACCCTGCTCATCGGCAGCTTCTGGATCACAGCACGCACGTTCTTCTTGGACGCCACCTCGAGCATGTCCTTGATGTCCTGGATACTGCCAATGTTGCTGCCCACAAACTTAGCACCCTTCCCAACAACACCAAAGGCGTTGAACTTGACGTCATCGTTCGGTAGACCCACCATAATGAGCTGCCCACGAACGGCTAAGAAGCTCAGGAACAGCGAGTACGGCATGTTGTCGGCGTTAGCGCACACGAGCAGCACATCCACCGACCCAGCAGCAGCTGCCGCCTGCTTTTCGTCGCTGTACACGACGAACTCGGTCGCGCCAAGGTCGCGCACCTCCTTCTCCTTGTTAGCCGAACGGGAGAAGGCCACGACGGCGTCAGCGCCCAAAGCCTTAGCGAACTGGATGCCGAGGTGGCCCAGACCGCCAATACCCACGATACCAACGCGCTTACCAGGTTGCACGCCCGCCTCCTTCAACGGCGTGAACACTGTCGCACCGGCGCAAAGTAGCGGAGCGGCAACGTCCGACGGGATGTTATCGGGGATCTTAAAAGCGTATTCATGCGGAACACGCACGTAGTCAGCGTAGCCACCGTACGATGTGGCGCCGTCATTCTTGTACGTGTCGTTGTAGGTCCACACCTTGTGGGCGCAGTAGGCGTCGTCACCGCCAGCACACTCCTTGCACGGAGCGGACGGGTCCTTGTTCAGACACGCCGAGACCTGAGCGCCAACACCGACACGGTCGCCGACCTTGAGCCCCTTCACGTCGGGACCAGCCAGAGTCACTTCACCGATGATCTCGTGGCCCACCACGCACGGGTACGTGGACGGCCCCCAACCACTGTCGACGGTGTGCAAGTCAGAACCGCAGATACCGCAGTGCGAGATTTTGATCTCCACGTCCTCGGCGCCAAGCGGACGCGACTGATACTTCCACGGCTTGATCTCCTCACCCTTGCCAAAGGAGGCGTAGGCGCGCACGGTTCTCGGGGCAGTGGACATTGTTGTTCTTGTCTTCAGCTTCGTAAGTTGCAAAGTGAGCTTTGAGGTGATCGGAAGGTGCTGCTCATCTGGATGCTTGCGCATGGCACCATGCTTTACTAATCAAAAAGACGTGGACTGGATATCGTAATACACAGGCACCTAACAGTTCTGTACACTACATGTACCACTAAAAGTTTAAGTCCTGTACTGTACCTAGCCCTCAGTTAGCCAAAGCTCCTTGCAACATTTTGTAAGTACTATTAGGACGACAGGCAACATTCTGTTAGTCTATCACTTCCACCTCAGAGAACCCTGTGCTACTTTTTGTAGTCCAAAACCATCCCTACCCCCACTGAGAGTTTATGGTGCTGCAGAGGTTTATGGTGCTCGAAACGCAGCATCATCGCTGACTCTGAAGGAGTCTAGGGGTACTCTCGTTGCTCTTATATGGGATGGTTGGGCGGATGTTGAGCGGACGACGAGCGGACAAGGCGAACATTCTCGATGCTCTCACACATTCTGGGACAAGACGACAAAGAAACATGAGCGTTGCTTTCTTTGGGGACGGGGACTCATACTCGTCACCTGCAGTAGCTACGCGGAACAACCGTTCGGACAGACGCAGTCACACCGGCGTCAATGACTCCTCTACTCTCCAGCATCGATCGCATCAACGCTGCTCTGGAAGCTGCAGTGGCACAGTCTTCACCGCCGACCGGTACATTGCGTGTGTGCCACGCAACGGAAGATGAATGGAACGCGTTTGCTGACAGCGAGGGGCAACTCGTTCGACCCAATTTTCTTGAATGGTTTGCTGACACGAGAGAAATCCATCTCATCGAGTTTGCGAGCACTCCACACGAGAGATATACCCGGCAATTCGAACGACGTACTTCATTTGCCAAGCCAAATATCAGTCGATGGCTCAATGCCGATGGTGCCGCCGTGAATTCCCAGGGGCGACGATGTTGTCCAGACCTCAGTTATGGGCCACGCCGAACAACACTGGGCTCTGTGCTCCCACCAGGTGTTCCAATCTTTGACGACTTTCGGACGATCAAAGTTGAAGTTGGAGTCTCTCAGCAGTGGGGCATGGCACAAGGACAGCTCGACCACAAGGCGATATCGACATGGGCTGTGATGTCTGGAGTTGAGTACGTGCTGTGTGTGAAGTTCGATCCCGACTTTGCGAATGCCGAATACAAATTGTACGATGCTCGCGTCAATCCACTCGTGCAGCTGGCTCCACTCCCAATCATCGCTCCAAGAACGGTGATCCAGTTGGACGGACGTCGAATCCTTGGTATTCCGCCAGGGATGGCGCTCCCGGTAGGGTTTCCTGCAACTCTGTCGGTGGATTTGTACTTTCCATTGGTCTGGGCAATGCGTTAATCAGACGCCCAGCAATCTCTTGCGCAGCAGCCGCCATACTCAACCCCTGCAGAAGTAAATGTGTGCAATACCTGATTATTATTTGCAATTGGATTGTACAGGTTTTGAGCAAGTGATACGGTCGGATCGAGTTGAGGAACTAGATTACTATTAACCGCATAAATACTACTTCTGAAGTAGTTGTTTGAGCCGCGGGATACGTAGCTGGAATGAACCCAATGATAGAACCAAACGAGGAATCGATTACCTGGAGCTGAGGTGTATTAGCAGTGACTGGCATTGTAGGAAAGCCACTTGCAGCGGTGTAGCCTGTGATATTCTTGACTGATTGCACTGTGAATTGAATAGCGTAACTCGATGGGTTCTCAGCACATGAGATGAAATAGTAGTTTGATCCGGTCGTAGTGTTTTGTCAAATAGAGATTGTTTTGGACCCCAATATTGATAGGTAGTAATGGATGTCACTTGCCCATCAGGGAGCGTAATTGTGTGTCGTAGTAGTAGGTGGATATTGATGTGCAATTTCATACTGACTGAAGTCGATTGGCTGCGAGAATCGATATCGGAACTGATAAGTAGCCACCTGGTTATTGAGATTTCGGAAAGCTCATTTTATCTACTAGTACATACTAACCAAAAGAAAGAAAAATGCATCCACGAAAGAGAATTCGACGACAATTAATGCCCCAAGCAATGGAGATCGATGGATCAGGCGAAGTGGATCACTCGAAACCTGTAGCTCCATCTAAAAACGACTATGGTTCAACGAATATTGAAACACTGTCCAATCAACTTCAGAAGATTAGCATTAGTCGTCTTGCCAAGGAGCAAAAAAGATGAAGAAGCCTCGTCATATTGATACGTCAAAGTTGCTCAGCTTCAGACGCGAATCTAAGAGATCGTCGTCTTAAGGTCTTTCACCATAGATAGCGCTTGCTTAACCAATCTTGTGTAAATTCAGGGTAGTCAATTTTGTGTCGAGCGTAATATCTCGCTCGTCGGTCACGATCATTGTGACCAAGATGCAGATATGCCTTTAGTGGCGTTCGGTCCTTATATTGAGCATAACGAGGACCCCAAAAATCCATCTTTTCACCATTACTGAGTATCACTCGATACTTCTTATTCTTTTTTGGTGAGAATATCCATGACTTAATATAAAACATTGTGTGTACAAGCTCAAGATTGTTTATTGAGCTAAAGCGCTTAAAGTATGAGGCGTTTTACGAGACCAGATTATACGCACTTTCACACCCTCGTGAAGTAACTTTACACTTATTCAAGCAATACCGCATGAAATCACGCTCCTGCTCGTCTAAAAGATCAATCAGGGCTTTATTGAACTGCCTATCCTCTCTTATCAACCGCCAGAGATATCCGAATGCATGAGAGACAAGCATTATTTTGATATTAGAGGGTTTTAGATTAAGCCACTTTGTCGGACATACGGCTTCGCCACAAGCTCGACAGTGTGAGTTTCAACTGCTATTTTAGGAGAAGTTCATTGCTGTTACTGTAGTCGGATTTTAGCTTTCAACAGTAATACTTTAGCAGGGAAAAGCTCAAATGGGTGTGTTTCGGTTCGAGGAGAAGACCGACAAAGTGTTGATGAAGGTCCTCAAGGAAGTTAAGTCAGAATCAGAAACCTGTAGGTTCATGATACTTGGAATAGTGTAGCCTTTACAGGTTGCCAGGGACCTCGTTGGAGTAGAAAGAAGAAGTTTGCTGTGCCATTCAACTGCGTGCCATTTGACTGTCGGTGCTCCCGCTCAGTTTTACAAGACAGAAATCTTAATTTAGCTCTTTCACAGAAGCGTAAAATGTAATCCACAAAGCGTAATTTCCTTTCAAATTCTACGAACTCGGTCGGTTTTCCGTATGATTTTCAGCGTTTAGATCTTGACAAACCGACAAAAGCAGAATTGTGGTTTCTCCTAAAGACCTCTATTTACTTGAGATTTGTCACTTCTTAAACAAGCTTGAAGTCCATGGAGTTCCACATGGAATGGACCAGCTTTACGGTATGGTACCTTCTGTTTTTGCTCCATGATCGCTTTATATGTTATGGCAAATAAATTATTTCTCGTAGAGATATCAATCATAAGTGCTTTGTCGCTACCAGAAGGAGTAAAGTGACGGAGGGTGACCAGCACAACAAATGTATGACAACCACAATAGCTAGAGGTTAGCACAACGAGACAATGATTAGCACCACAAGCTGCGGTCCTTAACACTAAATAATGTGATAGCACATCGCAAAATGATTGGACACAGTAAATTCTATGGTAGACACAAGTTTGCAGCGAGCGATTATATCTCACTTTAGGATTCTCTCGAAAGCACCCACCTTCTCCAGACCCCAACCCTCTTCACCATGCCCCCCCCCACGCGCCTGGCAACTGAACTGTAGTGAACTCCCCGAAGGAGATGCCGATCTTTTGTTGCTTAGCATGAAAACCTTCAAGACTAGCAAAAGTCAACTAATGCTGTGTACAGTGTGCGCTTCTGCAACCTCTCACTCGATGAGGTACAATATTTTACGCTGTGCCTGCAAGCAGTGCAGGGCAGTAGCTCCGTTCTCTAAATGCCCGTGGGGTGCCAAGATGCTGGTCTGCCAAGAAGCCAAGTCCGTATACATGAGTGAGCTTGGTAAGCACTGCTCGGCCGCTATTCCAAGCAGGAGACCTTCGATCACGAGGACCCAACGGCTATTTATTCACGCCATGACTCGTGAAAATTTGACGCCTCTCCGTATTCTACATGCAATGACCCGAAAACTTGAACGGAGCCTCGAAAATTTACCAGAACTGCGGAAGGTACAAAACTGCGTGAGCCACTATCGCAGAGCAAAACTTGGTGGTAACGATCGCGTCGGCGACGTTGCTGCCCATGCTGCTGCTGCATCATTTACAGGACGCGAAGAGAGCATGACGCGTTCTCATTCACGTGAGACAACGATGCCAGTGGCAAGTGCGTTGCCGGCGACGGATCAGACGCACGTCCATTTGTTGTTGAAGTCACAACTCCGTCGTCGGTTATTCAATATGTGGATTTGACGTTCCAGCTTGACCAAGTCAGCTACCCGGTCATCGTTTGCGGACTCTCGGATGGCTCCCGAACGTTTCACTTGCTGACTCTCTTCATTACTTCGCAGTTGGAAGAGCGCCGTTTTGTCGACGCCTTCGCTGCTCTGCGTACGGTATACGCGCAGGTGACAGGCGAGCGAATGAATGTGCAATATGTAATGGCCGACGCTGACCGGGCTCAATTCAACGCAGCTCAAAGTGTGTTTGATATCAACTGCACGTTCACGTACCTCATGTACTTTTACCATGTCATTGCCAAGTACGACTGGCTCTCAAAAAATTAGCGCGTGCGCTACATGGGGATGTGGTGGCTATGGTGTATACTGATATCTATAATCTTCACTTTTCGCTCACGAAGGAAGCGTGTACGGTGCGGAAGGAGCGGATGCTGTTTGAGTGGAGCAATCATCGTGAGCTAAACGATTTCAGGGCATATATGAACAAGCAATGGCTTAAGGGAAACTTTAGTGGGCGATGATACCTTACACCTTCTGGGTTCGCGACAACAAATAATCCTTGCGAGACGTTTAACCGTGCGTTCAAGCGCGACTATACTCAGAAACGAAAGCTGAAACTAGTGCTGCTGCTGCAGCAGATGCGAGACTGCTGCAGTCATCGGTTTATGGCCTCTGGCGTTTTTACAAGAGCGTTCGTTCGACAAGCGTCTCCAAGCTCGCACCACATCTCTTCGAACGGAAGGTTTTCTTCGTGAGCATGTCCACGAGCGAGGAGGCATCGCCGTCATGCTGGACGACTACAGCTCCGACATTGTACGGGTTGTTGAAGTGCAGCCCCCGCGCTTCTACATTCCAGCCCGAGGCCGCTCGGAGGAAGCTCTTGATGTGGCCGCTAGATTTTCAGTCAACTATGCTCGGATTGAGATGGATGAGCAACCAGGTACGGGGTGGCCGTTAATATCAAGACGGGCTATTGTCCTTGTCGATACCACGCTAAAATGAACTGCTGTGTTCATAGGCTTTTCGCCCTGCGCGTACGTAACTATCTGGATGAAACGAGCGAGCGGCTCATGTTTAATCGGTCCGAAAGCGCGGGGATGAAGATGTAGACAACAAGCGTGGTCCTGGACACCGATCAATACTGGACATGCACTACAGAAAGAGTAAACACGTAGAAGGCAGCAACATGTTTTATTAATACATCACCACAGCTTCACTTTAATTGTATTACCTTCTTTCTTTGTGGTAAACACTTTGAGCCGACTGATAACAGCCATACTAGCCCCCGGGCTCAGCAGCCTTCTTGATCCGATGGCGCCGATTTGGTAGGATAAGCGTCGTGTGTAAGCTGCCGCTGCATCGAACTCTATGGCAGCATCGTATTGTGTGTAAGCTGCTGCTGCACCAAGCAGTATGTCAGACTCTGTAGCCCTTCATCTACGTAGTAAACAAGCCAATACAGCACCTTGGGTAGCGGCCGTGACTAAAATTCAGCTCTCCAACGACGGCGGTGGTCTAGCAGCCCTCGTAGATCTTCGGCGGCGACGATGGTCTTGTGGCTCGTGGTATATTGTCTCGTCCCTTGCGGCTGTGCAACCGTCGTGGCTAAGCTCCCGTGCCCTCTTGCGGCTTCTTCAACAATGATCGTGCTTGTAGCTTGCGTCCTCAGTGACGACTCGTCACTATAAATACAAGCGTTGCGGTCGTTGCTCAGTCAACAGTGCTTGCTGTCGCCCAGCGGTCGGGGTACAGTACACGCTCTGTATCCAATATACGGGACAATGCTTTGCCTCAGAGAGCGTTTCCCGAACTTTCCCAATGGTCTGGTTACTACCCGGTACAATGTACGATCATGCATTGCTATTATCTCGTCTCGTCACTGTACTTGTGCTCGTCAGCATGGTCTTGTGTTGATCAGATATTATATTGTGCTTGTGACATTTTCTCGAGTAAAGTCTCCATGGAATATGTGTTCCCGACGGCTTAGAGGCTTTGCAGCGGGCTTTGCAACAGATACATGTACTGGCTCAAGCTCAAACGATGCGTCCGTTTCAATGGATGTACATGTATCTGGCTCATCTGATGCGTTTTGCTTGGATGCATTTAATCGATTTGCGATTTTGTTGTAGCTCGCATTAGCAGCCATGGTGCTGTGAAGTAGCTTAGCATGTAAATAATTCTTCTGGCGATTGGTGAGCTTAGCATATGTTGGAGATTGGATTAAATGAGACTCAGCGATGTGTCGAATCATATTCATTGACATTGGCTTTCATTAGACCCCTTAACCCGCTTTGATATGACCTTTAAGGCCCGTAACTGAAGCTATTGCTCGAGCTTGTGCAATCGTACTCACCTGGCTGTCTATTGAAAATGCGCCACAGGAGTTTGTTAGGCTGCTCTCTAACCGTGTTAATTAAGAACTCAAGATATGACCTGATCAAACGCATCGTAGTACTATCCAACTGAATTGTTTGCGGTCCCATGAGCCGAATATTCTTGAAATCATTCAGATGTAAAACGTTTCCTTGAAGCTAATTAGCACCTTCCTCAGTGGTGAGCATGACACTTGGCCATACAGTACCAAACGAAGTGGATAATGCACGTTCAACCACAACGTGATGTAATTAAACACGAGTTTCAAGTAATCAGTTCTCTTAGCTTTGGTTGGCTGCTCAAACTCTGATCGAGAGAAAAATATTTTACCATACGTTACGCTGAGCACCTTTGCGACTTTACCAGGGACAGACATAAGCTCTTCATAGCTGATGTATTTCTTCTCTTCCTCAGGCGTCAGTTCGTTATCCAGCGTTGCAGCCTTGTTTTGCTTACTCAATTTCTTTCGAATCGTATTGTAGAAGTTAAATGCATCCCGATATCTGTTCTTGACCATCTTACACATGGCGCTCAGTGTTAGTATCAGACTCTCTTTGCTTGTATAGATGCTCATCAAAAGCGCTATGATGCTCAAGTTCTGAACCTCGAAAGTCTTTTGAAAAGAAGCATCGTCGAATTTGTTTGGAAAATGAATATTGGCGATGAACTCATTCAGGGACCATCGCTCTTTCGCAATCCCCGCTTTGTAGAGCTTGACTAGTTGCCTGGTGTATAACTTAATCGTTGTGTCTGATAGATTGTCCTGATCCCATCCTAAATTAATATCACGAGTAATATTATTTTTGATCTCATCCAGTCTGGGTGTTATAGATTTATTAATCTTCGACATACTTTTTGTCTCTCGCTCTGTATATAAGTTAGATGTACACAAATTTTTCAGTCGATTTGAGTCATGCGCAGGTTGCTAAAGTCCTATTATCCCGGCCAAAAAGGCTTGGACAAAAATGGTACAGTCGTGCACCTCGTATTCGGCGGGGTGGACCATATAGAGTCTACGAGCTGCGAATATTTAGATGGAATCCAAATGTACTACTTTGTATTACCTTAATTAAGTACAAATCATAAATCCATCTTCGACACAATACCAGTGTGATTCCAACAGTTTCGTATGGTCATTGTCGATACGTCTTGCCAACCTTCTGAGCACCACTTCATCGCTGTATAAATATTGACGGGGGTATACGTCTCGCCTTTGTAAAACAGAGACAGTGTCCATGATGGCTCTGTGGCTGCCTTCCTGCACAATGTTTGCTTATTGGCGAGATTCAACGTAGAATAGGCGGACGGGCGACGTGCCATGGCCTTTTGCGACAAAATTTATAATGAGCTGTTGTACGGTGAAGTGATTGAGCTGATACATCGTGGCGGAAGTGCGGCGTTTCATCCCATCTTGAGGTTATTTGGTCCAAAGGAGATGGGCAACTCATTTGCGCAATGCATGTGGCCCAATCATTAGATTGTGCAGGTTATTAAGCCATACCGGGGCCGAAAACGAGGTGCACGACTGTAATATATTTTATCTAAAATTAGAGGAATGTAACTCCGCAACCGTAGAACCGATTTCGTTGTGTGACCCCTTAATAGATAGCTTGGTGTCTATTTATTCTCTTAAGAACTTCACAGCATCTAATAATGTTCACTACTTTTCAAATGGTCGCCGGTACGAAATTGACTGCTGCTGAGAAGTACTTGGTTGTGAAGACCTACGAGTTCCTCCGCCAAAAGAAGGCCTCTGTACCACATCAATGGAAAGGAGGAGTTCGTTATCATGTCAAAGCGTGTTTAGGCTTTGCTACGGGCACCATTTCAGCTATATGGGCGCACTGGGAGCAGCACCACGACAAGAATTTCACCTCGGTAGGCTGTACTTCGTATCATTTCAGTTATTATTGATATTTAACATTTCAGGCGTCGACAAATTAATTATGACAGATGGAAGGTCCAAAACCATCTGGGAGGCCTCCGAAACATGGAGAAAGCATACAGCCTCTCGTGCGTGAGTTGGTGTCGAGAATGGACAAGAGCGGAAAACCTGTTGCAGCACCACAGTGAGCACAGCGTCTTAAAGAAGAGCACAACATTGTGGTATCAGTGCGCTCACTACGTCGCGTGCTTAGGAGGATGGGAATGCGATTTATGAAAGGAAAGTCTCGCAATATTATGGCAGAAACGACGGCAAATGTTGCGTTCAGGGCGCAATATTTGAGAAAAAAGTTTTAAACCTGAACAGACGAAATTTCCCAGTGCGCCCCGAGGTTTATCTCGATGAGACTTTTTGTAACCTGCACCATGTCGCCAATTTATCGTGGGTTGATGAGGACAGGCTGCGGTATACGAAGAGTGGTCGAGGTCCACGGTGAGTGTTTTTTGTTTGTCTGTAAATTAGACCTTAACGTTGTTTGTATTAAGAATTTATAATAATTATTTTATTTTTTGTATTTAAGGTTTTGAATTATAGCCACGTCAGATACGTGGGTAAATGCATACGCACACACAGAAATACGAGACAAAATATCTGCAGCAAGGTGATGAATGCGAGATTGCATCGGAACCAGAGGGCAGCAACGAGGACACGGAAGAGGATGACGCCGTCGATGACAATGAAGCTGTAGCCGATCACCAACTTCTGGGCTAAACTTTGGCCCAAAAAAGGTAACCCTTCCCTTAAAACCCATAACGATAGTTAGATATAAGGGGTAAAATCGGGCGTAGATTCCGATTTTGAGGTCTATTTTTGCGTAGCTGCAACCATTGGTCTCCCAATCGGCCATTAAAAAAAGGCTCTATATCTTGCAGAATTGTTTGCAATTGTGGGCTTGTCACGTACTAACAAGCATACATATTCATTGGCAGAGCCGAGATAACAGGTGGGGATTTTCAGAACCGGATAAATAAATTCCAAATATTACCGCAATTTGACGATTGTTAGAAAAATATAAACTTGTTAAAAAGAACCCGTCAAAAGAATAGCTAGAGTGTAAAGAACATACAACGAATCACCCGTTCATATTCCTAATCAGCTACAACTTCATTTTGGACCTTCCATCTGTCATAATTAATTTGTCGACCACTGAAATGTTAAATATCAATAATAACTGAAATGATACGAAGTACAGCCTACCGAGGTGAAATTCTTGTCGTGGTGCTGCTCCCAGTGCGCCCATATAGCTGAAATGGTGCCCGTAGCAAAGCCTAAACACGCTTTGACATGATAACGAACTCCTCCTTTCCATTGATGTGGTGCAGAGGCCTTCTTTTGGCGGAGGAACTCGTAGGTCTTCACAACCAAGTACTTCTCAGCAGCAGTCAATTTCTTACCGGCGACCATTTGAAAAGTAGTGAACATTATTAGATGCTGTGAAGTTCTTAAGAGAATAAATAGACACCAAGCTATCTATTAAGGGGACACACAACGAAATCGGTTCTACGGTTGCGGAGTTACATTCCTCTAATTTAAGATAAAATATATTACCATTTTTGTCCAAGCCTTTTTGGCCGGGATAATACATGGCAAAATCGTCCGTTTGAGCCACTCTCAGTTGAACAAAGGCCGCTCGCATTCTTTCCATCCTAAGAATTACAAGAAATTTGTAATGGTTTATAAATCTGGAAAAGGATCAACATTACATGTGTCTCATGGTGAAGTTCTACGTACTCATCAGTCAAGACTTAGTGGATCTGGATTTTGGGGCGATCTTTGGAGTGGTATTAAGAAGGGTGCTAGCGCTGCATGAAATTTTCTTATAGATAATTGGAAACCAATCACCTCTGGACTCCTGGATGGTATTGCCATCGTGGCCGGACCCGAAGCTACAGTGGTGTAGGCTCAGTGGTGGACTCTGGTATAGCATACTAGTATTCTTTGTATTATACTTAAGAATTTGATAGCGTTTTGCCGAATTTTGGACGTTTTCATAAAGTGTTTTAAGCACTTATTTAGTCCTTTGGTAGTTTATTTCCCGCCCCCTAAACTTGTAGCGTGTCCGTCCGTCTGTCAATAAGTCCGTCCGGTTCCTTTCTTGCTGCGTTTTCCTGCCTTTTCGCATGGCTACACCCGGCCTTTCCAATAGAGTTTCCTCCCATCTTTCCGACCGCGCCTACCTTTCTGACTCGACTTAACTATGCCAAAATTACAAATATATCCAAAAGCGTGACGCAATTAACTCGCGCCCTGATTGGTCAATACCTGCTGACCTGCGACACTGACTGGATCTGTCGCACGATCAGACCGTCTATCGCCCTCGCGATTGGACGTAAGGTAAACAGTTCTGCCGAGCACGAAACGCATCGATTGGTTGCAAACAGCCAGGCGAGCTGCGTAGATGATTGATTATTGACATTTAGCTCGCAAAAACTGTCGTATGTACTGCAAATCGGGCACAGTAACCATTTATTTTCTAAGAGATCTGCAAATAGAGATATTTATTATTATTAATGTAGACTTCACAGACCGGTATTCTGTAAGAGCTCTGGGATGTTATTTTCCACACACTTTTCAAAGTAAAGACGATATTAATAGTATTAGTATTATTAATATAAGTATCACAGGCCGCATTTGTAAGAGCTCGGCGATGCTATTTTCCACAGACTTTCTAAAGTGCGATAGTATTTTTAATATTAAAGTAGGCTTCACAACCAGCGCTTTTTGTAGAGACTTTGCGAATATATATCTTTTTTACGTCACCTGGCACTCACCACTGCCACCGTGCAATGAAGGCGCGCGGCTGCACGGTCATTGCGCTATCTGCTCCCGTGCACCACACCCGACAGATGCATGCGCGCACGGTACATAGCCTTTAAGTCACTTTTATTGCATGTAAAGTATGTATTTGTTTGGATATATGATAAAAGTATTATTATACCAAAGCCAAATTGTTAAATTTTAAAACATTACAACATTTTGTCTAATAATAAAAACCAGCCTTACAGTACCGTGCTATTGGCTAATATTTGGACGCAAGTAATTGGTTAAAACAATATAATTTGCTAACACACTCACAGTTTGCAAAATTGCGAGGCGAAGATTGACCCGCGTCTGCTGAACCCGCAGCGGTCTACGACGGATTTCCGGGCGCGCTGCGTCTGCTGCGGGTAGCTACAGTACGGTTGCGCACTCCGTACAATCAGCGGGCGGGACATCGTGCGGCGCTGTATTGCCTGCGAGAACGACCCAAAAGCGGTTGAGCTCTGGAAGGAAAAGCCCCCACCACCTGAGTCGGCCGAAGTGCGCCTGGCGAACGTCAAGAAGACGATGGGCCCTGACTGGTACCCCAAGAAGAAAAAGAGGCGCAGCCGCCCTCGCAAGCTGACCGCCCGAAACGCCAATTACATCGAGCAAAAGAAGCAGCAGAAGAGCAAGTAATTTGGATAATATATCCTTATTGCCCCCGTTACCCCGCTTATCTTTGTATTTTGTATACTGGCGGGCGGCGCGAGGCTTGGGGCCGTACATATGGTAAACTAACTGTGGTGCTGCCAATTGTGTTGACGCCCCTACGGAGTGTAGCGCATTTCATATAATAATTAGCGCATAGTATCTACTGTGTACCCTTGCGAGCTGGCCGTTCCTATCTGCATACGCGTTACCGTAGATGGAAAGTATACTTGCTCACTTGGCACACGCAAACCCATGCTATCTGTACCACCAACCCTCACAGTTTATATTTCACTAATGTGCGCTCACGAATGTAAGCTTCAGTATTGAGTGAGCACTATGCGCGATGAATAAGCTGCTGTCTACATGGACACAACCACGTATGCGGTAGTGATGACCATACAAGCGGCCATCGCAAGGAGATGTGTCTGTACGCAGTACTTTACTTTAGCGCCCTGTCCATAATGGTCGAGATAAGAGCTCGGCTGAGTCGAGGGTGGCTATAATGTGTACCTGCCGCGCGCGTATATATTGTTTTTCCTACTGCTAACAGAAGCCTGGTCAGACGGTCTGTATCAGGCTGCCTGCGTCACCGCGGGTATGACCTGTGCCTAATTAGCGACGCGCTTTATCATATAGACGGATGCATAATATGCGTAAGTACTGTAAGCTAGCACGACAATGCGAAAGTACCGAGATTGCAGCAGTGACCCAATACATGGGTGTTGGTTATCACGACCACACCATTCGCGACATTGCGGAATAAACACAGACATATCCAATAGCACGCCAGGCTGTTAGCTAGACACTGAAATCTCTTTATCTAATGTACATGATCTACTTTTCGATTCAAGTCTAAGATATCTATGATCTGATAATTTGTCTACAGCCATGTGGCTTCGTATGTTCGTCATACATATTGGAACCAGTAAATGATAATCGGAATGGATCTACGCCACTCGGTCAGGCAGTAGCTACGCAAATCAGTCAGTAAGTAAGTCAGCTATACAAGTAAGATCAATACATGCGAAGGATAGTGGAAATACCCTTCAGTAATATCATAAAGAGCTCAGCGGAACGATTTCAAGGCATAATATTGGTGTCTGTGGCGACCATCGAAAAAACTACCTGTCCTAAAAGATACTTCGTGCGAGGCGATGGCTAGACCTTTCTCTAATAGACCATTGCAATCAAAGATATGGTGTCGACTGCCTCACGGCGATGACATGCGGATGGTAATATGTTTGAGCAGGCGTATTTACTCCAGCTACACTGAGATTCCTCACCTATCTATGCCAATTTGGGATCATCATTGGTACTGACCCGTCTTCCGCACAGCATATATTACATTTGCTACCACGCGCACCTCCGATTCGTGTCATTTTAGGAGTTATACGCTCAAATGGGATTATAGCCCAAATCTTCCCGGGAAAGATGGTGATCATATTGCAAATCACGTTAAACCCGGGTCAAGTCTCCCATAACATGTGAGCACTAAGGATACCGTGGGCGGTGTTGTTTTGGAGCGTAACATAAGTAGATCACAGTATTCATATATTATGTGAAGCTTCGCTCTAAATTGAAACTCTAAGCCCACCGCAGCGCAGCGGAGGTGGTCGGCCTTCTCTACACCAACCAACCATGCCCTAGCGTCCGCGGAGCGGGCGCTTAGAGCGCTAGTCTTAAACATCTACTGCAGCAACCTGTCTGTCCGTCACACTAAATTGTCGTGCCTGTCACGCTTTTCCAGACAAATCATTGGATAAAATAATTTAAATATTTCTACTGGCTGCCGAGCGCAGCGAAGGTGGCCCCGATTGGCCTAAAAGCTGCCGAGCGCAGCGAGGTGGCCCAAATCGGCACCTTCTGCAACTTTGCGGGCATTTGGGCCCGCCCGAGCCACAATCTGCCAGCCTACCGTGCGAGTAGGGAAGCGAGCCCGTGGCGAGCGGAACGGAGGCAAAGTAGAAGGAACGACATTCATTCTTACCCGCCGCGTAGCGGCGGCACTCGGCCAGTACAGTACAATGACACTTGTGTGCGATATACGTTTGATCATTCACATCCAATCGCCAGTGCTAAGCCACTTGCGACGGAGCTACGAGTTGCTTTAAGCGTTTGAGAGCTTTCTGAATTTTGCACCAAATTTTTGGACGTTTCGAAAAGAGCTTTAAGTCATTCTGAAGCAGTTCAAAAATATCCCTACTGTACCCCGCTGCTGAGATCCCAGATTGCTGAGGATGGAGCCGCTTTCCTACATGTAGGACGTCTCAGATTTAAGTCTGTGCCACTGCGAGACTAGGTCCATTTTCAGCGAAAAGCAGCCAGGGGATCAACACAACAGCGTCCTTCTGTACAGTGCCACGTATTCGCTTATTATTATTAAAGGACAAACTCCGTCGTACTTTTAAACGACTTTTGGTCTTTTTTTCAAGGACAAAAAAGTTGTTGAGTAACATGGTACTGAATATTTTAATATTAAATTAACATGTAAGTAAAATAAAACACTGATACCCTGCGTAGGTCACAAGTGAATATCACGTCTGCGACCACCAAGACCAAGTTGTAATGTCTGTTGCCCCACGCACCATCAAGGCCCTGGCATGCTTCGGCAAGAGCGAGCCCGTCCAACTCTGGGAATATGAATCGCGTCCTCTCGGCTCCGATGACGTAGAGATCAAAATCTCGCACTGTGGCATCTGCGGCTCCGACCTGCACGTCATCGACAGCGGCTGGAAGCCCACGCTTTACCCGTGCGTCGTGGGTCACGAGATCGTAGGTGAGGTGACGCTGGCTGGCCCTGATGTTAAAGACCTCAAGGTCGGTGACCGCGTGGGTGTGGGTGCACAGGTCTGGGTCCAGGCATTCCGATAATACAATTGCAATCATATTGAAGGTCCATGCCAAAATAAGCTATTGCTACAAAAACTACAGCTTAAGAAATAAATAATTGACATCAATAGTAGTGTATTGGAAAATTACCTACTTAGATGTACAGCACTGCACATTACTTTGCGTTCACGATAGCTGCTACAGTGTTTGCGTCCAAGGAACGCCGATTCATCTTCAGGAACAAAACGGTTTCAAGGTGAATAGGCAGCATACGCTGGCGATGGTGGGAAAGAGTATGTTTCGCCACACTAAAAAGACGCTACACGGTGTTTGACGTCGGCGGGATGAAAAGCACACCATCAAATATCTTCTTTGCACCGCGCCGCTTTTTTCTAGTCGCCAAGACTCTGTCGGCAAAGCCCTGTGGGCGTCCGTGCCTGGTGTCCGGTGTCGTAATTGCGGGTACCGTCTCGAATGGCTGCAACATCAGCTCCTGGTCGTTCGTCAGCTCGTCCACGGCGCCTGACAGGGCTACAACGCACGCTCGCTCGAAGTCCCGTATTTGCGTCGGCAGCAAGATACTTTTTCACAACGGAATGCTTCTCGATGAGCGCATCAAAGATATCGCGCACATCGAGAAGCGTTACGTTGTCGTCTTGAAGCGTCATGGTGGCCGAGTGGAGGTCGCCAAGCTGGCAGTAAAAAAGTAGCTGCAGACTTGCTTGGTCGTGAAGGTGTTGGCGAGAGCCATGGTGAGATCAAAAATGATAGACGAGCGCCTCAGGTTCGCGTTTTGAGCGACCGTTGCTAACAGCCATTCGATTCTGTCTGGAGACCGAGCTCCGTATTTACGCAAAACAAAGCAGAAAAAACTAGATTTTACGAAAAAATAAAGTACTTTGCTGTAAATACAAAATAACTAATTGGAAAAAGTCATCCAATTTGTAAAAATCAATAATTAAGTGTAAACTATTGTATTGAAGCAGCAATACAATGATTATTTCGGAATGCCTGTCTGGGCCTGCCTCAACAAGGACCCCAAGAACCCGTGCAAGGACTGCGCCAAGGGTGCCGACGCCTACTGCCGCGGTATTGTGAGCACGTACAACTCCAAATACCAAGACGGCAGCCTAACTTACGGCGGCTACGCTGAATACGTGCGTGTACTGAGCCCGTACGCCTTTAAGATCCCGGAGAGCATCCCATCAGACGCTGCCGCTCCGCTATTGTGTGCTGGTACGACCGTGTTCACTCCGTTCAAGGAGGCAGGTTTGAAGGCCGGTGACCGTGTGGGTATTGTCGGTATCGGAGGTCTGGGTCACTTGGCTATTCAATTCGCTAAAGCCATGGGGGCAGAAGCTGTGGTGGCCTTCTCGCGCTCGTCTAATAAGGAAAAGGAAGTGCTCGACTTGGGCGCCGACGAGTTCGTCAACTACTCGGACCCGGAGCAGGCCAAGGCAGCTGAAGACTCGGTGGACATTCTTCTGGTCACGGCTGATGCCGACGGTATGCCGTATCAGCTCTTCTTGAGTTTCCTCGCCTCGCGTGGCACGTGCATCATGGTTGGTCTACCCAACGACGAGGTCCACTTCAAACCGGCTCAGGTGGTCATGAAAGGCGCGAAGTTTGTGGGCAGCCACATTGGCAGTATCCAGGACGTGAAGGATATGCTGGCGCTAGCAGCCGAGAAGAATGTTCGCCCGGTTATTCAGACGTTGCCCATGAGCAAGGCCAACGAGGGCATCCAGATGCTGCGTGACGGCAAGGTCCGATACCGCGTCGTGCTTGAGAACTAGAAGAATGTATGTACCGGTAGAGAGAACGGTACAGAAGAAGCGCATCACTGTTGCCATTGTTTTCGTTTTTTGCGCTTGTTTAAACAGTTTTACCTAGTCGGTATCAGCGTCATTACTCGCATTGTTGGTGCTGATCTCGTAGTTGGGTTTTCCTAAGTACAAATACATGAGGATAGCGATAATAGTAGTCGCCACAGCGGCGACAATCGCCGGGCTCTGTCGAGTCTTTGCCAGCAGTGCAGCAACATTACCCGTCTGTGCGGCCTCAGCGGCGTCACTCCCCCCGAGCTTCGCGTACAGCTTCCTCTCGAGGGCTTTCTGGTCGCGTTTCTTCTTCTTAAGTTGCACCAACAGCTGCCGCACTTTGGCGTTCTTTGGTTCGATCTCCAGCGCCTTACGCAGAAACATATTGGCCTCCTCGAACTCGTTCTGGTCCAGCGCGATCTGGCCAATACGATACATGGCCTTCACGTTCTTCCCATCCAGTTGCAGCACCTCGAGACTCGACTGTCGTGCCTCTTTAAACTGTTTCAGCTTATGTTGCACATTGCCCACATTGTTGCCCAGGGCAATGAGCAGCTCCTTGCATTGAGCTGCGTCCTCCTCCGAGTGTTCCCACGTCTCCAATAGTTTAAGCGCACGCTTGTATAGTTTAGCGGCCTGTTCATAGTTCTTCTCTTTAAAGTAGCGATTGCCGCTCTCCTTCTTCTGTGTGGCCTCCACGATCAGCTCCTGGGAGCTCATTTCGGCCGTGATCTTCTTGCCCACGCGGCAGAGCTCCACAACGAGCTTGATCTCGTCTCCTGGAGCCACGTGCGGCTCCAGTCCCACATCTCCATAAGCGAAGCGGGCGTCACAGCGCACCTCACACACTTCGCCTACGTGCATCATCTTGGCCACCAGCTCCAGCGCCGGCATCACCTCACCATCTCCAATGCGGAACTTGCGGGCCTCATCCACTACCACCTTCTGTCCGGATTTAAGTACCCACGTCGAGTACTTGACGCCCACTTCCTCGCCGAATTCTGTAGCAACACGGATCCACGTGTCAATATGTCACCAAAAGAAAAAGTATGGATGCTCGACGAATACAATGCAGGTGACGATGGGGGTTGGACAAGCGCGTTACCTGCTTGGATGCCGTCCTTGTCTACGGTCAACATCTTGCGAAAGATGCCGCCACTGCCCAGAACATCTTCGAACCCCTCGCACTCCGACTCGCTAATTATCACCATCGTCAGTCTGTGCCGTATTCAATTGTGTCATATTGAAAAGGACACAGTCCCTATAGACGTTATCAAAATTTAATAATACATGTACTGTAGTATAATACTTGAGGTAGCATTTAATGCTTTAATACATGTTTGTGAAAATGGAACCCGAAAGATTAAATTTCGGAGAAAATGCTTTCAGAAATTCTTAATAGTCAAAAGCTATTTCTCGGTCATTTTTTTTTGCATTTTTTCTTTTTGAAACTGAAAAACCTCCTGGATCGACCAATAGGACCCTATTTTACCACAAGGTCGTTGAAAAGCTAAGAAGTTTGCGTTTTCCGCCAATCACGGATCGCGGAAAACTATTCAGTTACAGCTGAGAAATTTCGCAATGTCTGCTAGGAGGGAAGGATGGACTCGCTATCCTGCGTGCGTAGATGCTGCAAAAGATTGCAGCGCCGCCTTTCAGCCGCGTTAGACCATTGGCCTTGCCTCAAAGTACGCGAACACACCCAGACTCAAAGTACGGGCTGTGTATAATATTCGCGCGTGGGCCTGCAGTAATAAAAGTATCGAATATTTAGTTTATGTAAATAAAAAAAAAACTTACCGGTGCAGGGTGCGTACTGTGTGACTTGACACTAATTAGCTCGTCAAACCACTCTCGTACGTCCGTCTAGTGAACCTCACGGTCTTGCAGTGCCTTCGCCACTGATTCGATGTCCCCCAATTCTTGATAGAGACCGCGGAGGCGCTTGTATACCACCGGAGCTGGAAGCAGCTCCATGATGTCAAGGTCATCAATTTATTAAACCTCAACAGCTCGAAGTAACTCTAGACCATCGCAAAGGTCGAGCCCACCTCGTCTCTTGGTGAATTACCGGTCGCAAACTGGTTTTTCGGCTAAATAAATAGTCATATTGGATAAACGTTTTGGTTAGTAAGCAATTAATGAGAATACTGGCCACATCATTTTCAAAAATTATACATACCGCAGCTTAGCCGATTGGGTTAAGGTGCGCTTGATCATCAGCGCTTGCACAGCTGCCAAATCTTGTTCATGCGACGCCAGATTTTCTTGAATAGCGCGAGTGAGCCGGTGGCTCGCGCAGCTTACTAGAGGCACCTCCGTTATAGTCACCGGCAGCGGTTTACGGAACAGTTGTCACCTACAATGAAACGACACTGTCCCAGCTGTACGCCGAAGTCACGAGACAGCATAGTAGCGGTGGCTTTTGTCGAGATGTCGTCATCGGCCTCGTTGAGAAGCGGAGCCATGCTCAGTAGAGGAAGTCTTCAGAATGCCGTTTACTTCGTAGCAGGCAAACACGGCGACATAGTGCTCATAAGCATGCGTCCAGCTGTTTAGCGTTATACCAAAACGTTCGGGGAGTTCCGATGCAATTGAGCGCTGGACTGACACCACCACCCCATCCATGCCAGCGCGTAATGTCTTCTCTGAGACGGGATCAGGTCGGAGTAACTGACAAACATCCAAACATTAATTAACATTAAAAAAATGTAAGATAACAAGCATTGTAAGTAAAATTATAATATAACAATAATGAAACATATCGTCTTGCCTTGCGGCTCTCATAAAACGAAAGTGGTAGGTTGCACTGAATAATCCAGACCATCCAGCAGAATAGATTTTGGGAAGAAGGACGGAGGAAGTTGAGGATCAAGCCAGTTTGCGCAGTCGGGGTGCTAGCGTATAACATGCTGCATGATGTTTGTGTACCCATTACGGTGCGTTTGCTTTCACATCGTGCCACAATGTCAGCGGAAATATTCAAGGATCACCTCGTTGTGCTGGTCCAGACAGGGGCGGAAGTAGAAGACCACTACTCGGGCATTGGAGTAGGTTGGGGTGGGTTGGCGGGTTACGTGAGCCATTGTTGAAAAGAGAATCGGTGTGTCTGCTTGTCAGAATGTGCATCAAAGGAGAAGTGAGAGGTAGGTTGGAGATCGACAGAGCTCTCGACAAAACAGAGTTTTCGAAAGGGTTGAAAGGCGACTAAAATAATTCTTAGAGTGCCTAAAATAAGTGATGTAATAACTCTTTTCATTCAAGTTTTTTTACAGCCGAAATAAATAATTTACTATTACTTATGTAAGTGATGTTGATATTTTTCGGAGGCCCAGCGTACTGTGCACAACCAGCGACTATCGGGTACCCATCGCAAATTTAAAATTCGTCAGTGACAACCCAAGGGATACGCACTTTGGCACCCGCTCTTCTTGATGTCGTCCAAAACTCGATTGAAAAGCTCCTCATGACCCGATCTTATTGCCGCGTTCGTAGCCGACATGTACGTCGGTTTTGCGTGAATGTCACGTTTGTGCATGTAGTCAAGTATCCCCAACGCAAGCTGATCTTGCTGCGCCTTGACTGCCGCTCCCACTACGCTCGGGAAAATATCCTTCATAAGTTTTGGTGAATTTCATATGTTCTGTGACGTAGAGGTGGACGCGAACGCTAGAGGTTTGGACGCATACAATCGAAAACAGAGCAGAAAACGAAACGCGAACTAATAAATAGGTCGTGCTGTCTTAGAGGCACACACCGGCGCGGGTGATAAGCTGTCGACCGTCTGCCTGCGAGTCTTATACGTAATTAGCGCTGGGCGGCCAAGCCCTAGCTGGGAGACGAAAGTTATTACATGACAGCGGATTCCGAGGTTGGCAACTGAGACAAAACCAAAACGCCTAGGCGGCGCTGGAGGTAGTTGACATTTCTGGAGGCTGTCGGTCTTATTTAGTGTTGTCCACCCCACGACAGGTGCTTGATATCATGTAAAATTTTATTTCTTCAACATATATGATGGGGAATTGGTTGCGGCGGCGCCAAAGAACTCGCACAGCCATGCCAAAGCGACGGTTACCCCGTAGCATTGCGTCTCCAGGGAAGAAAATATCTGTGTGAAATGCAAAAACAAAACGGGCTGGAACAATATCGGTGCTGATTTCAATTTTGTAAGACTCGCACGTGCGACCAGTGATAGGACTATTGTTTTGTAGCAACTTAATGTAATGTACTTAAAACTGTTATTATGGTTATTTTTTAGGATGGACATTTGTGATCTAATGTCTGATAGCTTGGAGCACGTCTGCGATACGAGTCATCACCAGTTTTCCAAAGCCGACAATCTTAGTCGACACCTCCAAAATCCATGTCGGGAATTGCCAGCCCCACCATTTCGGATGTGTGACGTGTGCTGTCAGTGGATTAAAGGCGATCGCTACCAGACGGAGCGCCACAAGCGATCGAGTCACTGCATGACGGAAGTGGAAAGAACCAATCGCAGAAGCCATACGGCAGAGCAGCGGCGTCATCGCGACGCAGAGTACCGTCGACTTCGCAGAGGGTGTTTTTGGGGTGAGCAGAAAAGACGAAAATTCGATGTTCCGGATCAGCTATTGCACGAGAGTGATGGTGCGCCACAAGTGGGTGCTCATGATGGTGGCATTTTACAAACTGCTGAGGCATCACTGGATAACGAAATACTTAGCAAAGATGACAACACATTGGTGGCGATGCCCCGACGACAATATCAGCGTATCCGATGTAGACTAGAGCTAATTTGACATAGAATTCGCTGCGTTCGTGAATGGTGATGGGACTGAATTTGTCGAATTGTCGGTGCAGCAACTTAACGAACCGTGGAGCAGTCGCAGAACGAAACAGTAGAGCAGTCACGTCAAGAAGCAGGGAAAGTTTCTGTGGAAGTTTCTGTGGAAGATACTGTGGACGATACGATGGTCTATTCTGTGGTCAATTTTGTGAGAAATGCCGTGGAAGATGCTGTGGGAGATGCTGTGGATTGTCCCAGCTACAACGAGTCAGATAGCCAGCGAGATTTATGGGTGTGCAACAACTTTCGCCAGTCGAGCCACCGTAACTGTGCTGGACGGCTGTTCGAGCATGATAAAAGATGTTCCACCTGTCGCACGCATATCAATCTGGAGGTTGAAGATGATGAAGTGATTATCGCGCGTCATATCCCTGCTCGGCCGACGTGTTTTCTATTCGCGGACATAATGAACAGAACAGGGACATTATACAGGAGGGTCCTCAGTGTCCGCCCAATGTGGCATTCAGTGTTTAAGTGTATTCAGCATGGTGAACGTCAGCAAAAATCGTGCAGCACACTTCAAGTGCCCTGCATGCATGCAACCGTTTTCGGTCGACCGTATATACTTCGGTGATGGCTATCTGAGTGACAGCTCGAACGATTTAGCTGACGAAGAATACCAACCTAGTACCAGTGTTTCGGCAGAATCATCAGAATAGGCAATATGCTCAGCAAGTCAGTAGCTACATAAAACATACGTTTTTTTTATTGTTCTATGCGTGTTGATCAACCTTGAAGCAGTTATCATCGCAAATTTTCAACCTCACGTTTTAGGCCGATTGCACTTTTGAGGCCAACAATACTTTATTGTAGTGTATCCTCAATCCCACTTTTGCGGACGACTGCACTATTGTGGCCCGAATGCACACTTATGAGAGACTGCACACTTGAGGACAAGACCACACTTCTGAGGACGATGTTTACGCTCGCTTACGTTTTCTAATCTCTGCAAGAATTTTGTTTACCGTTAAGTCGCCATGAATGCAAAGTGCAAAGTTCGCCTCGAATTGGTCCTGGTCACCGGCGTGGTTTTCTTGGACATACTCAGCGATAGTTTAAACCCTTTACTTCGAGAAAGACGCGATCGATGTAACTTTGCGTTCGTGTGGAAGCATGTCAACGCCAGCTCTGAGCTGGTGGTATGCCGGACTATCATACCAGTACTGATTAACGCAATCCCACACCCTTTAGCGTCTGGTAGCTCCGACACCAGGTTTGCAGAGTCAAGGATTTGCTGCGGATCGGGCGGGGTTTCCGCGTGGCTCAATCGAGCCATCTGTTTGAGTTTCAATAACCCAGCAATCGTGCGGGTATCCACCTGAAATCATTTCCGGCTTCGCGTAATGCCAGCTAATCGCGGCGCGTAGCTTCTCATCAGGCCACTGACTCTTGTTCGCCGTC